GATGCTACAGGACTGCAGTGCATCAACTCCTAGCCTGGGAGACTGAAAAGTACTATTAACCCAGCTATCCACTCATCCAGATACAATAAATATGACTGATCGCCTAGGTCTCGAGTAAACGAGTTCTAACTGACTGACTGACTGACTGACTTACTAAGCATATCCAACTTTCACAGAACATCAAAATAATGATAATGATCACAGTTTAAATTGCAAAAAAGACTCTAAGTTATGACAAGAATTAATTCTAAATCGAATTGTCAACAGATTGAACGTCGAATTAAGTTTTCTTTCAAATGTAAACACAAGAGGCATAAACGTTTGCAGTCTTGAACAGCGGCATCTAACACAACGCCTTAGAAATGCGGTAAAAAGAGCATTCCCTGCTGCTGAATTACACTTCGTCTTCAAAACCACCCAACCCTATTTTCCGTTCAGGAGTGAAAGATAAACTGCGCAGTTTCACCTCTTCCATGTGTAATTTACCAATTTAACTGCTCCTGTGGAGCCAGTTACATAGGCAATACAATTAGGCGGGTTTCTCGTCGGATTTCAGAACATCATCCCGCGTGGTTGGTTAAGTAAAAGACGAACAGGCATTTGATAACGATAGCTTCGACAAACTCAAGAAGAATTCATTTCTTTACGCCGTACACAGTTGATGAGAATGCTGACGAGATAAATGTGATGGTTCAATCTTAAATTCTGAATAAACCCTCTGTTAAGTATCATTTTATTCAAATTCATAAATGAAATCGGATACAAATAAGCCTAGGGAGAAGAAGGATGATACGAGACAAGACGAGACGAAACAATGAATAACTCACCTCCATGGTTCCAATATCGGTTCCCATGCGATTAAATTTTGATTGTAATAAAAACACGAAACTGTTGAACAGTCTAAATTCAGCCTTGAATCAGTTTTGCTCCAAAATATTTTCATGCCTATACACAAACACATACACACACACAACATAACACAGAAAAATAATTGATCAAAAATGCCAATTAAAATTTTGAAAAGAATGGTTACTAAACTGAGAATATTCTTTTCGATAACCCCTTCATCATCAGGCTCTACAGTTATATATACATTATCGTAGTGAATGAATTAGTGTTATGAACAACATTAATGTTGTTTAAATAAGATCGAATTAATAATATTGATAAATTACAGCTGAAAAGCATCAACATAAAATAAACTGAATGTCAGAAAAATTAGGAAAGATAATATTACAAATTCATGAATTTATAGTTTCCACTGAAGGCCAGGGCAGTAGTAGGGAGCTGAACTTGCTTCTTTTGAACACAGAGCACTGGTTGTTTGAGGCGAATTGCAATAGCCTCTGTTGTTTGGAGCATGCGGTGCTTCGACGATTTTGGTAGTTTGTTAGGCACCCGGTATATTATAGAGAAGGATTCTTCCACAATGGCTGGCTTTGTGGCCGGTTTGCACCAGATGGTCTAATATCGAGCTGTTAACGGTTTTCACTACACCTTTACTTAGCCAAACTGGGAGATGTTCTCGAACGTGTGAGCTCGAAAAATCAAGTTCCTAGAGCAACGGCCAACATAACTCGCTCCACAAGCGCAGTTGAATTGATGAATACAATTTGAAGTGGCTAGTCTAGTCTAGGTACTTCATCTTTCAGTCGAGGTAGCACCATCGGTCGTGTAGAGAATAATACGCGTAGTTCGCCAGCAATAAAAGTTCTCTGAACTGATTTTTTTATTTCTTCGTAATTATCTCGCTTGGTATGTCGCCCATGAATTGTAGTCGTATATATAAAGGCTTCTTGTTTACAGATAGTGGGTAGTCCTTTTCCGCTTTCTTTGTCATATGTTTCTTGATAAATTTGTCAGGATAACCATTTTCGATTAAAGTATCATATACCATGCTTAATTCATCTTTAATTACTTCTTCAGAGCATATAGCTCTAACTCTGTGGCTAAGGGTCTTCACTAAATTTCTTTTGTAATTGATAGGAACGAAGCTGTGAATGTGTGTGTGTAATTCATTCATTCATTCATTATAATGTATATATAATTGTAGAACCTGATGATGAATTTATCGAAAAGAGTACTCTTTGTTCCCTGTCCATTTTTTAGAAAAATAATTAAAAGGAAACAACTGTTATAAGTATTTATTCACATTTAGTGAATATGAAAAAAAGTAAATTTCGCATTTGATGCGGGTTTCATCAGTGGTTCCCTCCTTCCAACTACAACATGGAATCAACAGAAGCTGAACACCCCATCTCGATACAATAGAGCGAACATTTGAATTATGGGGAATACTCACATCATAACGTCAGTCAGAAAATAAGACGGAATAGAATAGATGACCAGTTTCAACACAGAAAAGAGGGAAACAGAGATTCAAAGGAACGATACTGAGCAGCAATGTCAGGAATAAGGTGGGTTTAATGGATATTAGAGATCCACAAAGGAAAACCCAGCGAAGCGTTTGGAGTAAACACAGGAGTCAGACAAGGGTGCTTATTATCACCAATGATATTCCTAATTGTGGTGGACTGGATTATGCGTCAGACAGTGGGAAACGAGAAGACAGGGATATATCCTGGACCACCAACGTGAAGAATCTAGAAGACCTGAATTTCGCGGATGATTTATGTTTGATGTCACACAAAATCGAAGACTTACAAGCGAAAACCGACTAACTGGTCGAAGAAGCAGCCAGAGAAGACAGGACTCCAGGTGAACATAGACAAGACGGAGGTTATGAAAATAACCAAACAACAACAACAAGAACAACGGCAGCAACATCCAGCGCCAATCACCATCAACGGGAGGGATTTGAGAGAGGTTACTTCATTCACTTATCTAGGGAGCATTGTCTCAACTACAGGAGGAACAGACGAGGATGTCAAATCGAGAATCGGGAAGGCGAGAAACACATTCATCAACCTGAAACCAATCTGGAAATCTTCGTCACTCAACTCAGCATCAACAACAAAATGATTCGGATTTTCAATACAAACGTCAAGTCAGTCAGTTCTTCTATACGGATCAGAAACTTGGCGGGTCATAAAGAATATTTCCAACAGCCTGTTGCACACCTTTATCAACAACTGTCTTCGCTGGCTCTATACTCAAGATCAGATAGATGGCCGGAAAGAATCACTAACAAGAAACTATGGGAACAAACAAAACAAGAACTAATCGCCCAACAAATATGCAGGAGAAAGTGGAGATGGATCGGACACTCGCTGAGGAGGCCGTTGGGTGACATCGCGCGTCAGGCCACTGCTCGAGTGGAACCCGAAAGGGAAGCGGCGAGTGGGACGTCCAAGGGTGACATGGAGTAGATCGTGTGAAGAGTTGAAACAGTATAGATTAACATGGATGCAGGTGAAAAGTACAGCAGAAGACAGAAGCAAGTGGAGACGTGCAGTTGAAGACCTATGTTCCACTAGGAACCCAAGGGAATAATAATAATAATAGACACACCAATGACTGAAGACATCTGAACCACTGAGAGCGATTTTGAACCAATCCTGAACATCCCAACCAGGCAGTCTACATTTCCCTACATGTGGTTGGCTCCTACTAACTGCCAAAGATTTTAAGAAGTGATGGGAAGTTTTGGTTTGATTACCACTAGCTAACTGTTTTCCAACCTTATTGTATGTCAGCTAACCCTGACCATCGTGGAAGGCAATGTTGAGCAGTGAGTAACACATTTCCTAGCCATCTCAATCGATTGATCTGCCCTCCTTACCAAACTCTCCTTCGACGTCTAACGTGAATTATACTCACTGTATTATATACCACGTAACATGGGAGAAAACAGACAACCAGCTTTTCCATATCTTCCTGTTTTCCAGAAAATAGCTCAATATCAAATACTGAGAGCTTTTAGGAATCAATATCTGTGTGATTATTTGAATGCATTCATCTGAAACGGACCTTTAATTAACCAAGTTAAGGAGCTATAGATATTTTGGTTAAGGACTCGAGATACCACTCATTTGATCCCAGGCTGGCTGGATTCAACATAGAACTTGCCACCGAAGTGCAGCAGTTCGAGTTGCCACGTTCTAAATAGCACACAAAGGTAGACAAGAAAATGAGTGAAAGAGAATCAATAGAGTTTTGACAAGTATAAGAGTGAAACAGAATGAGTAATGGTAGAAAGGAATATGAAAGATTACAGAGACTGAATACATCTGCGTAAGCCATTGACAACGATTTTGGGCGATGTCACCTATTGTCTCCAGCCATTGATTCTTAGAGTCCCGAGGGCGGGCCCCAACCCGGAAGTCTGCATCTCCTCCCTACCTCACTCAGTTTAACTGTCAAGGACTTCATGGATTGATGAGGCCATGTTTTTGTTTGGCCACCACTTACTCTTTTCCAACCTGCACCTATATCAGCTAGTAATGCCCGTCCGTCGGGGGAGGCGATGGTTAGGCATGCACAGCACGTGACCTAGCCATCTCAATCTATGTAACTTTATAGCCTCTTCGAGTGATTTTCCCTCTTTGCCCAACACTCTACGCCTAACGTCAACATTACTTACCTTATTATACCACCTAACGTGAGAGAGAGATCGTAGACATCTATGATCAAAAACAGACAACCTTTTCATGTCTTCATCGTTTGGCCATGTTTCAGAGCCATGGAGAAGGACGGAGCGAACTGCTGAGCAGTACACACGTGCCTTGGTTGATAGTCGGATGTCACGCCTACGCCAGAGATGGTGTAAGTTAGCGAAAGCAGCCCGAGCTTTTTGGATCCGTGCTGAGATTTCGTCACACAATCAATCCGTTGGTGCTGATACAACTTCCCAAATAGGTGAAGTGGTCAACATGTTCTATCACTTCACTCCCTATCAGGCTGAAATAGTGAAGGCAGCACTCGGACCTTTGTTCATCAAAGGCGGGTGCTTAGGTCTACTAAGTTAACCTCCACTGATTCTTCAGAGTCTACAGCATTTATTTAGTATGCGAACGATCAGGTTACCACCAACAACATACCTTCAAAGTTGAATTTCAGCAAAGGATTCTCTTCATTTGATAGAGTTGAATGTGTCGATCTTTGTGTATCCAATAAGTATAAAGATAAATCCACATTGAACTATAAGGAAGAATTAGGAGAGAGAAACCGGATAAGAAGGTAAAACAGTTACGTAACATAAATTAACTTGTAAAATGCGACAAAGAATATTGGCATGATTTATATGAATGCAGTTCAATTAAGTGAATTGTACTGGACAGTTTAGTTAAGAAGATTGCATTATCACACTAGACAATATTTTCAGTAGCATCCTCAAAATGAAATAACATTTTGGGATTTCCCTTGTATGAATTAAACGTCTCTATTAGTGACCATGTCTGTGAGTGATTACGGTGAGTCGGTGGTTCACTGGTAGAATATCCGCCAGCCACACCTCACATGGTCTAGGAACTCGGTTTCCAGACAAGCCAACGCACTCCTAAACCTTGCTTAGCCAGTAATAATGCCATTAAAGAGGAAAGATTGGGAACGAAGCTAACAACCTCATCCCGTACAAAAAGACGGATAACACATCATTGCTACTGACATCTGTGTAGCTTTGTCGGAATGTTGCCTTTCTCTCATTAGTAGATATGCACGGAAGGGACCAAGTTAAACTTTAAGCACCACTAACTACTAATCAGCGAACGACGTCGAATGGTCCAATGAGATTCATGAACGTGAGTTCAATGTTGTATAACGCTTGATTCGTTTCGAATGCGTGCTCTAACGAAGTTACTCTTGCAGTTCGAGGAGGATAAGGTTTTGCAGTATTGACTGGATTTGGTGGGGTTGCTTAGGAAGGAGAGGATTTGTTCATGTGGTGGTGTCATGAGTTTAAAAAGCTTTAGCAGGTCGATTGATGGATATGTCCATCGTTGTGCAATTTGTTTGAGACGAGTTAGCATTAGAGAAGGTAAGCCGATAATTTTAATATTTCGTAGGAACATTTTTCGCTAGGTAGCATCTCTCCTTAACGCAGATTTTGTATATTTGCAACTACTGGGTTTTAAAACAGCCTGTGAGAGCCGCAGCTGCTGAAACCGAAAATCGCCTCGTCTCAACAGTTTAGTGGGACCAGCACTGCAGGGACATTGCATCATGGAAAATGGAGAGAATTACTTCGTTGTTGGGCGAAGAAGGCTTCGTCGTACACGTGGACGTAACTGTGTTGCTGAAGCGAGCCAACAATATTTGGGTAATTGGTTTATATGACACCTCCCTACGAAAAGGATTCGTGGAGAGAATACCAGATAGAAAGGCAACTACTTTAATACCTATTATTACTAGAATTGTGAAACAGGGATCAATAATACATCCGGATGAATGGAAAGGTTATAGCTCGCTGTCATCTCTTGGATATATTCATCAAAGAGTGAACCATTCTAGTGATTTTGTGGATCCAATTACAGGGACACACACAAATTCTATAGAAGGATTTTGGGGAAGATTAAAAAATAGGATTAGGGCTATAAATAGATCTCAAAAGGATCTCATTTATAGTCATTTGGATGAATATATGTACAGAATGTGGTGTGACTTTTCTATTGACAGTCCTATGCTTAACTGGGAGATGTTTCTCTCACATGTTAGAGAGAGAGATACAGACTTATGCATTTTTTATGCTTTTTTCCCCATAAATATACGTTTTCCTTTATTAAAATTCCCTATTTTATGTGATTGGTCCGTTGAAAGTCGTTTGCTGATTGGTAGTTTGTGGGTGCTGAAAGTTTAACTTTGCCCGGAAGGTTGATAAAACTTTATAATTTGATTAAATACTAGTTAGTAACTAGTGCCATGCGTCTAGTCCTCTGTTTTATGCACTGTGACCTCACTCACTCACTCACTCACTCACTCACTCACTCACTCACTCACTCACTCACTCACTCACTCACTCACTCACTCACTCACTCACTCACTCACTCACTCACTCACTCACTCACTCACTCACTCACTCACTCACTCACTCACTCACTCACTCACTCACTCACTCACTCACTCACTCACTCACTCACTCACTCACTCACTCACTCACTCACTCACTCACTCACTCACTCACTCACTCACTCACTCACTCACTCACTCACTCACTCACTCACTCACTCACTCACTCACTCACTCACTCACTCACTCACTCACTCACTCACTCACTCACTCACTCACTCACTCACTCACTCACTCACTCACTCACTCACTCACTCACTCACTCACTCACTCACTCACTCACTCACTCACTCACTCACTCACTCACTCACTCACTCACTCACTCACTCACTCACTCACTCACTCACTCACTCACTCACTCACTCACTCACTCACTCACTCACTCACTCACTCACTCACTCACTCACTCACTCACTCACTCACTCACTCCCTCACTCACTCCCTCACTCACTCACTCACTCACTCACTCACTCACTCACTCACTCACTCACTCACTCACTCACTCACTCACTCACTCACTCACTCACTCACTCACTCACTCACTCACTCACTCACTCACTCACTCACTCACTCACTCACATCTGAGATTCGAATAAAGACTTCGAAACTGGAAACGTTTTTATTCAAAGACCAAAAATCAAAAAGAGCACTTACATCAAAGCTAATCAATCGTTTTGAAATATAATCAGCAAATACACTTGGCCAAAATGTTGATAATAATAACAATGACGTCTGCTGATTCGATTTGTTGCTCTTTGATGATTGTAAATCTAAAAACATTTTTAACGAAAAAAAAATTGAAATTAAAATAAAGATAGTTTAATATTTTTTTAAGAAAACACCAAGTCGGGTGGCATTAGCCAACTTACACACCATCTGTGGAGTATACCTAAATATTCAGCTATCGATGAAAAGACATGTGGGCTACGAAGTATTCCGCTCTGTCGTTCTTTATGGCTGTAAGATATGGCCACTGAAAGTAGGGAATATGAAAAGGCTATCTGTATTTAACCGCAGACGTTTGCATTCTATTTCCCTATTACCAAGGAATAGTCTTGACTTCTGAACACCTTCGGCAAAGATCTTCGAATGTTTGGCATCCAGTTCGCTCCTGTCACATGAAAGATGATGCTACAGGACTGGAATAGGGAGGGAGAGGAGTGGTGACTGAGTGTGTTGACCAATTAACTTATTCGGGTGGGAAGTTGTATCAGCTCAAAAGGAGTGACTGACCATTGCCGACAAAATCACACCACGGCTACACAAGGCTCTTTTAGCATTTGTCAACTTACTCTATCTCTCTGGAGTACACGTGATATCCGACTGGATATCATCCGAAGGAAATGTGTACTACTCAACAGTTCACTCCATCCTCCTTTATCGGTGTGAGACGTAGCCGTTGATTGAAAGTGGAAGATACGAAAAGGCTAGCTGTCTTTCATCATTATATCTCCCGTATTAAGTGGTGGTATAATAGGGTGGGTAATATTAAGGTTTAGGCTTCGAATGTTGGTTATGTAATGAGGGAGAGTCACACAAATGAGGCTGTGAATCTACATCGGTTGAGATAGACAGGTCACGTGTTACGCATGTCAAGCCACTGCCTTCTGACATGGGATTAATATGGAAAGAGTTATGAGGCTGTCAAATTCACACCTGTCAACAGTCAGCTAGTCCATAAGGTCTCGGACTGTAGGTTTGAGCCAGCCAAGTAGAGAAATGCAGACTATATACGTGGTTAAAACCAACAGTCAAAGACTTTACGGATTGAGTTCGACCACATCTAACACTATTGCGAACCCAGTCTTATGTCCAATAACATTGTTTGGCGAGGAAGGTGATAGCATCGTGTGTGAAAAAATCTTGTCCTAGTGTCATGAGAGATGTCTACAAGACAAAATTGTAGATAACAATTGACGTCAATGTTTAACGTCCTAAATCGGGGTCATGAGAAAAAACAAGAACAAAGCCTAACATTGAGGTACTCAACAACCAATCACAGGTGACTTAGAGTGGGAGGATCTGATTCTCAGATATATTGTCTGACCTCCTAAGAAACGGCAACAAAGAGATAACAGAATAATCTTCAGCAAGAAAACAATCAATCAGAAAATGTTGCTTCTCCACTAACAATAATCTACAATAATGTACATAAAAATCTATGAATATCTGTTGATTTTCTCAATAAACGATCTACTGCCTGGCCCTTGTCTTCTGTCGTCACAGTAGCTATCTAAATGGAGTTGTAATTTCACAACTTTCCTTCCTTATCCAAGAGATAAACTCTACAACTAACCAACCTCATTCTAATTCATCATATTTCACCTCTAAATGACTATGAAAACTGCTTGTCTTTTCATCATACGGCTCAATTTCATCGAAATCTGCAGTGTAGTTGTACATCTTCTCCTTTGGTGGACAGCTTTATATAACATTCATGCTTAAGTCCTGATTTACCGACCTTTTGGGCACATTTTGAAGCACTAATCAGTGGGGTCACATATCTCATAGGTTAGGGTTCAGGAATAAAATCAGCGTGATAAAATGCCAACCGAAATTTCGACAAGACATTCCATTAAACCCACCAATTTCAAAAGGTGGAGTTTGTCCAAAAGACGATGATTATCCTTATTTGTACGACAGTTCTCTGGGGTGGAGATTACTTCAAGGAAGAAGAATGTGCCTCCCCTCCCCTTTTCCAGAAAAGCTACTACTAAACTAATCCCAACGAAATTCGAACTGCATAAACAAAAGAATCACGAAAAAATTAGCAGCAATTAAATGTTGGAATTCATAGGCTGGCCAGTGGTTCGGATTCCAGTGGAGGAATGGTATACAAGCACGCCCTGTAACAAAGGGGTACTGAGTTCGACCCCCGGTGGGTGGATGGGTGAATACTGATAGGGAAATCCAGTCTGGAACGAAACAGCTGCCCGGTATACTCTCTGGTTATTAATGGCTTTCTAACTGATATTAATCCGTGATACAATTTGGAACACATCAAATCCCTACAAATAAACTCATTGAAAATTGATCCGATGCTACAGGCAGATGTTGCCTGGAGTGAGTTCTAGTGAGGAGTCATAACCAATGGGTTCCACCAATTCGGACAAAACCTCCCCGATGATATTGGTTGATAGTTACGCTAATATCTCGAATTGGTAGAAATAAGTAGTCATGGGCCACTGGGTCGAAATCCTCACCTTGTAACCAAGAGTTGATGGGTTCGAAACCCGGTGGTTTCACACTGCCGAAGAGTTCCAAAATAGAAGGAAACAGCTGGTTGCCCACTACTCTCTAACTGATTTTCAATGATTCTCTATCCAACTGACATCAATCCGTGATCAGGTTTGAGAAAATAGAGGAACTTACCTTCATTGAAGGCAGGGACAACAACCGATGGTTGATTGCTACAGCCAATATCATCATTTTGTCCATCCATAGAAGGCTGTGATTTGCATTTCGCTATCAGTTGACTAATGCAATCTTTGATCAATTCAATATCCGCACAACTGGATGTGATTTGAATGACAGGTGCAACTAAGGTCATTTTTAGTTGTAACTGGGTTTGCTATACCATCACCCATTTATCCAAATAAGAAGAAGAAATACAGAAATAAAAATCTCATAAGAGTCAAAAATCAATTTATCTATAAATAATCTGTAAATACTACTCATAAAGAGAGCATCGGTTGTTCGGCAGTAAACGTTCGCCAACCACATCTCACATGGTCCAGTTTCAACTCCCGACCGCCAACGCACTCCTTTACCTCGCTAAACCCATAGTAAGGCCGGTATACAGAGAAGATCGGACATGAGGCTAGCAACCTCACGCTGTAGAAGCTGTAGCTTGAAGCTAACCTCGTATAACCTGAAGTTCCTGGGTACGATCCCTTATAGTGAAGTCATCAAGCGTGTGTACGGTTGAAAAGTCTCAGTCTAGGAGGAGACAGTTATCCAATGTGCTCTTTTGGGTTTCCAATAACCCTCTAACTGATACTGGTGAATATTGATAACGGTATTAAGGACACGTATTCATTAATACTTGATGCCGTATTGATTAAATGCATATCTAACACTCGGTTGAGGTACAGCTCCTGCAAAGCCCTGAGTGCTTAGAGGTGTGTATGTGTATGAGCGGTTGTTAATGACAAGTTGCTTCACAGCGTAGAGGTTGATTTTTTACTTGAAATATCTAAAACATAAGGTGAATTGGTGTTACGTGACCAGAGAACGAAGGGCAGAGGATAACTACTTGAGACCAGTCATGCTCACACCGACACAGTCTATTTGAGTTGCTTCTCGAAGTTGTGTCCAACGACTACAAACCGCCAGAAATGCTTAGTCATGATATACAGCTTTTTCGGGGGTCGACCTTTACTTCTAGTCACACCCCTCCCGCTTCCATAAACAGTGAAGAGGTCGGACAGTAGGCTTGTTGGTCATATCTGTGGGTAAAGCACCTTACTGCTTTTAAATCTAGCATTTGGCCTACAGTAGATCTTCGTCTCCATACCATCGACATAGTGTCACAACTACTTTCACACTAACCGCATTCAGACGATTCTTATTTCGTATGGTATTACAACACCAAATTGTAGATCTGACTGACTGACTGACTAATTTAGAATGAAGTAACGGGGTATTACAAGCATTATTTATCACAGTTAACGAATGAAGTTACTAGCCTCGATTATCAGAATTAAAAATAAACAGAGGACTAGATGCCTATAATGCCTGTTGTCACCTGACATGTTCTTTTGGTGTTGCCCTTTTTACAGCGTGGGATTGTAAGTCTCAAACACCCAACTGACACATTCCCTCCTTTCCAAGCTTACTACCTTACTGTTAGAGTTAACTGGATGGGGTTTAGGTGGACCACGTTGGCCATGAAATCGAACCGCAAACCACAAGTGTGGATACCGAACATCCTAGCACTGTGAACCACGGATGCATGTGACAGAACAGATCTCTTATATACCAAGATACACTAATTATGTGAGCCCAGATGATACTATTAGCTACTCACCAGCATGCGCAAGTTGAAGTAAGTCGTAAGTGGCCTCCAGACAGTTAGTGTGAACTAATTTCAACAATAAGCCATAGTCAGTGGGGTTCACAAGGTCAGTTTTGAGGAAATGCACATGCGGTCGCACTAAAATCGTCAACTGACAGAATTTAGAGTTCACGGGTCATCGAATTCCAGTTAAAGTGACTTAACTAACACTTAACGAGTTTGACCCTGTAACATGAACGCCCCCTCGTTAATTAGGTGGTATAGTTATAGATGAGTACTGTTGAAGAGTCCCAAACTGAGAGGAAACAGTTGACTACCCCCAGACCTGACTATCAACAGTTTTCTGTTAACTGATATAAATCTATGATCCCATTTGTAACGAAACAAATCCCTAAAAATTAACTCTTGAAAATTGGACAATAAGGGCTTGTTTCGCATATGACAGTTTACACCGTCTCTGGTGTAAACGTAATAACCAAAAGATGTGTGTACTGCTCAGCAGTCCGCTCCGTCCTCCTTTATAGCTGTGAGTGAGACCTGGTCATTGAGAGTGAAAGACATGAAAAAGCTGGCTAGCTGTCTTTGATCATAGGTGCCTGCTTTCTATCTCCCGTGTCACGTGGTGGTATAATAGGGTGGGCAATATTGAGGTTAGGCATAGGTCGAGTGCTAGGTAAGGAAGGGAAATCAGTCGACGAGACTGTGAAATGACATCGACTGAGATGGTCACAACATGTGTTAAGTATGCATCCCTAGCCATTGCCTTCCTCGACGATGGACAATGTTAGCTGACTGACATAGGATTGATCAAGTTGGAAAAGAGTTAGGCAGTGGTGGTGAAACCAAAACATGGCTTTATAAGTCAATGAGATCCACAACAGTTAGTTTAAGCCAACCAGCCACGTAGGAAGGTGAAGATTTGCTGACTGACTGGTTGGGATCCTCGGGACTGTAAACACCAGTAACGACTGGAGACAACTGGTGATATGGCTCAAACTTATTGTTCTCGATGATGGCGCAGATGCATCAACTCCTTGTGACTTATAATTTCCAATGCATGCGATTCGCCCCTGTAAAATGTAAGATGATGTTGCAGGATTGGACTACACCGACCCCTAAATTAGAAATATGAAGTGAAGTGGTAGAGCACGTTGACCGCTTCACTTGCTTGGGAAGTTGCATCAGCCAACGCCAACGGGTTGATCGCTGATGAAATCTCAGTACAGACACAGAGGGCTAGCTTCGCATATGCCAGTTTACGCCGTCTCTCACGTAGACGTGATATCCGACTATCGACCAAAGGGCGTGTGTACTGCTCACCAGTCCGTTCCGTCCTCCTCTATGGCTGTGAGTGAGACCTGGTCATTGAGAGTGAAAGACATGAAAAAGCTGGGTAGATGTCTTTGATCATAGGTGTCTGCGTTCTATCTCCCGTGTGAAGTGGTATAATAAGGTGAGCAATATTGAGGTTAGGCGTCGAGTGCTAGGTAGGTGGGAGGGGAAATCAATCGACGAGGCTGTGAAGTTACACCGATTGAGATGGCTAGGATATGTGTTACGTATGCCTAGTCATCGCCTTCCTTGACGGGCAATGTTAGGTGACATAGGGTCACGCTGGAGGAGAGCTAGCGGCGGTCAAACGAAAACATGGCCTCATCAGTCAATGAAATGTACAACAGTTAGTCTAAGCCAGGTAGGAAGGTGTAGACTTCCTGGTTGGGGTTCTCGGGACGGTAAACATCAATGGCTGGCGACAATTGGTGATATGGCTGGCTTAAATTCTTTCTCGATGATGGCGCAAATGCATCCACTCCTTTTGACTTATGATTTCAAATGAAGCTGTTTTGTTCTTCATTATTACCATTCCTTTGTCTCACACCTCTGTTCACTGTCTATATTATGCATTTCTTCTCTTGCTTTGTGTGCTACATGGAGGGAGTGTGGCGACTTGAAGTGCCGCACATATGTGCAAAGTTCTATGTCGAAAACAGATAGACAGACAGACAGATCAATAAAGGTGACAACAATTACAAGTACAAATAAACAACTAAATCAATTAAGTCGACATACACCAGAATAAAGAGTATTTCTCTGTCTAACAGAATATCCGAAATCAAGTCTACTTGGCAGTAAAGACCACTGAATTAATTTCATATATGATGTTCCTCTATTTGCCATGAAATCATTTTTATTGCTGTTGTTCAACAATGAAAATGGTGATGATAAGAACGACGAAGATGACGACAGCGATGGTGGCAGTGCTGGTGGTGACGATGCCAACGTTTCCCCGATTGAAAAATGACATAATTTTGAAGAGAATTTCAATGGATTAGATATTTGAAATAATAATGATGGTGATGTTAACAGGGGATCACGAGATAATCGGAGGTATTGAATACTGGCTTGGATAACATCATTGAGGATACCATATATTGTATGGGTAGATTTTAGACGTGAAAAATTCACACTTAACTAAAACAGAAAGAAGGGAAAAATAATTGTCAATGTATAAATAAACAAATAAATAAATTTGTTTTTTATTAATTAGATAGCTGCAGACAATCGAAAGGAAGCCTTGACTTGAACCTAAGTTTTGTACTTGTTGGCTGGCACTCCCACCAGTCTACAAGACCGATTTGCAATCTTGAAGGAACTCTTATGGCTCCTCCCGTCTGAGATTTGAACGCATGTCAACCAGTGCTATAGTTAGAGAGGTTGTCACCTGAGCTATTCAGCTACTTTGATTGTACACTAAGTATTATCATATGTGTATTAATTTATTTGATGCATACAGAATTCTGTCAGTCAGATTTCCATTGTGGTCACTATGCTAGGTCACTTTACTATCATAGTGCACCTAGTTCCTTCAAGAATGCAGATATGCCCTGTAGTGGAGTCGATGGTGCCCAGATAGGTGGAGGTGGTCTCTTACAAATTTATTCTGTAGATAGTGATTGCTGCTTCTTTTGTTGTTAATGTGGATCACCTCTGTCAACTCTATGTTCATTCGGTGTCCTGTCTTTCCTGCATCCCTCCTCTTCTCCTACCTAGTTGCTTTTCAGTTGCATATCTTCGAATTTATATGACATTTGACGCATATCGTTCAGATCTTCTAGAGTCCTTCTCATCTATCCAAAATATTGCTGTCTTCTCGCACTCCAAACGCCCTCTCCTGCATAATCCAATCCATCACCACCATCAGGAATATCACTAGTGATAGTAGCCAAATATGTCTTATTCTTGTCTTCATCATCTCGCCTAGTCCATTTGTCGGTGCTACAGCCAAGGAAAAGAAGAAAGCTTAAGGGAAGGGGGGAATTATTTTGTTCCAACCCACTGGCTGAACATATATAAAAGCTGCTCTACTCGAAAACATGAGCGCCCTGATTTCGATATACCTGGTGACGTCCCATCAACAGCCTACACTCTTGAAAAGTTTCAAAATGTATACTGAAACAACTGCCTAGCTACTCCATTACGGATAAAATCACACAGTGTTATACAGTAATATTAACTGATGACCACACTTCGAGCACAAATTATTCCTGCTCATAATCATATCAAGGTACTCACTCACACAACTTTCTTGCCTCATTTATATACATGAATAAAATTGATGAATAAAATCACTATAGGATAATGTACATTCAGAAATAATAATATAAGTGTTATCAATCAAGCACAATCAGATGGGAAATAAGACGAGTGTTTTTATAGTCAAAATGAATAAATAACTTGTTGGAATGTTACAATGTGAACTGAAATACATTTTAACATTATTTATTATCCTCTGATAAAGAGCCGACATATTCTAATAGATATTTAGACTTTAATTCATCTCATCCGTTGTCTATCTGTAAAGGCAGGATTAGTTTAGTGTCTAACAAACCGAGCAATAGCACTAAAGTGGTACAATAAAAAACCTAAACGATGAAATGAAACGCATAAAAAAGGTGTTGATGTTAAATAACTAACTATCCTATAAAATTCATTAGGAATATCAAAAAACGTCAAAAGCAAAATAAAAATAATGGTGAAACTAATAATGATAACATAAATAAGAGAGAATATAAGTCATCTACTGTTATACCATAAAAGGAGGGGACATCTGAGACCCTCCCTAAGTAGGATTCTCAATAAAGCAGGAATTAAGGTGGCATTCACACCTACAAACTCACTCAAGGACAAGATCTGTAGGACAAACAACCCTGTTGACCCAATAAGACAAAGTAATATAATTTAAAGGAATACTTTGCAGTGACTGTCAGTTAGGTCAACTACATAGGTCAGTCAAAATAGTAGATCGGGAGTAGTGAGATTAGCAAAACATAAGAATTTAGCGAAGATTACAATGACCCCACCCAAGAGGATAGGTAATTTAGAAAAAAGCCCACCAATCGAACTGCATGCACTAATACACAACCACACAATAAGGGAGGAGAGCATTTTCATCATGAGCTGACATTAGTTAGAGAACCATTGGAAAACCTGGGAGTACTGGACAGCTGTTTCGTCCTAGTTTGGGACTCTTCAGCAGTACGCACCCACCGGGATTCGAATCCAGGACCTTCTGGTTACAAGGCGAGCTCGTATACCATTAAGCCACTGGGACCCGATCCAATGGTCCATGAATTCTAACTTCTGCCAATTCACGACATAGCGCGACCCCTAGCCAATGTCTTCGGCGAGTATTTGTCCTCACGCCCGACCTGCTGCACCCTACTGGTTTTCCAATGGTTCTCTAACTAATGTCAGCTCATGATGAAAATCCTGTAACCAATCAAATCCCTACAAACCAACACTTGAAAGGTAAGAAAGCGTTGGAATTATAAAAAGTAATACAGGTATCTGGTGAGAGAGGGATTAGTTATTGAATCCTGCCTGGTCCAACGAGTCTACACCCAACACATGCAACAGAAATGATTTAACGCAAATTCCAGAGATATGGAAGATATTATTACCACCAGTCAAATCAGAGGAGGATAATAAATAATCTTAAAATTCTATTTCAATTCACGTACATTAAAACATTCTAACAAGTTATTTATTTTGACTATAAAAACACTCGTCTTATTTCCCATCTGATTGTACTTGATTGATGAAACTAATATTATTATTTCTTAATGTATTTTATCTTATATTACTGATTTTATTCAATCAAATGTCTAATCAGCAATTCCACTCATGTATATAAATGAAGTAAAAAAAGTTGTGTGAGTACCTTGATATAATTATAAGCAGGAATTGTTTTCGCTCGAAAGGTGATCATCAGTAAATATTACTTACCGTATAACACACTGTATGATTTTATCAAACTAAAATCTTATCCATAATGGAGTTATACTCCTACCATCGCAGTGTCCAAGTTTTCTCCTCATAGCAATACAATAACTGCCTAGTAATATTTCGCATTCTAAGTGATATAAACCGGCATATCTTGACATCACAACACTATAAGATCAATCAGTCAATCAAACAAATCCCTACAACAAAACCGACAACAAGCCTTACGCAGAATTCTTAACAAGGCAGGAATAAAAATGGCATTCAAACCCACAAACTCAATTAGAAACAAGCTTTGTCGGTTAAAGGATCCTGTAGAGCCTGCAATGATTGTCAGGTCAAATACATAGGTCAAACTAGTAGAACAGGGACAGTCAGACTAGCCAAACATAAAAGCCCTGGCAAAATCTAGATTAGTTGACCCGAATAAGGTGAGAAATCTGAAAAATAGTGCAGCTATGCCACTCACTACATGCAGTTACACACAATCATACAATACGATGGATGGGATAGGATGACAGCTTTAAAATCTGATGTAACAGGATGAATAGAGGGAGAGATTGATAATGGAAGCTTTATTTATCGAATCAATTGCAAACCAACACGTGTAATAGGAATGATTCAACATGTGTCCACCCGGACATCTGGAACATTCTACTACCCCAACGACCACAAATAGGAGAGAACAAAGAAAGCTATAAAACTCAAGTTTTAAAGTCGTGTGATTACAATTGATATGATTATGAACAATAAATTTTGTTCGAAACGTCATCCAGTAAATAATACTGTTTCACTGTGTGATATATCTAATAAACAAACTAATATGGGACGACAACAACAACAACCAAACTTACTTTTAACACTAAAGACATGCCTTCATCGTATGGTATACAAATTTCGTTATCTTCTATGCAGATATGTAAACCGCTGTTTTGTATAACAGATGCTGATGACTTCGACTCTTGTCTACGCGGATGAATCGGCGGCTCATTATTACAACCATGAGTATGATAATAAGAATGATAATGATAATATCCTTGAGATTTAGGCCTACAACTGTCACACGATGAATTCGATCTGAATAATAAAAAAAGAGAAAAAAAAAGTAAAAAGTATTAATCTATAAGATGAGTAATTCATATATATATATATATATGTTCAAACCAAGTTCACTTTTTTAACAGTTTGAAATAATTTAGGCATTGGTTGGTATATGTGATATTCATTATAATAAAGGTCTTTTTGTATTTCCCAATGAATGAATGAAAAACAAAACGATACTGTCGTTGTTTTTACTGACGACGTTTCACTATTTAATGCTGCTGCTAATAGCTTTATCAAACTGGTATTATAAAACCAGGGTTTACAAAATCTAATCAGCTTATTTATAACAATTTAATCAGCGCTCCCCAGCATGGGGTCATCTTTGCGTTGTCACATTCGCCTATTGGTAAAGATAACAAAACCAAGTGTAGATTGTTGGATTTGATAAGTGTGCAAAATTAAAAAAACCGCGTGTGTTTACATAATGAAATTACTTATCACATTCTGTTTAAGTTCATCATTCCTATTCACACAATTTGAATTCCAATTGATATGAAGTGCTTCTGATGATACTAGACGTTCTTTGTGATTTCTGAAATTTTTCTGGATTATTATTTCAATATTGTCAAAATCAGTTTTGTGGCCTGATTCTATAGCGTGTAGACGACCTATGGCTGGTGATTTTTCAAGCTTTTCTAGTTTAACTGAATTTCTCGGTGGTTGAACAGAGGCGGCTCTACGGTGTTCATCATTCCGTCTGATCTTGATTCCTCTCTGGTGATGCTTGTCCTCCGATGTATATCACATCACTTTCCAATCATTCTATTTTATAGACACAATTAGATTGAGAACCCTTTGGAATTTGGTCTTTTGCAGTGTGTGTGCTGTTTTGAGGAGAACTCTGATGTTGCGTTTATTCAGTACCCTTCTGATATCGTCTGACGTCTCTGCTCTATATGGAGTGACAACTATTGAGGTCCATGTTTTCGCAATGCGTTTTTGACCATACTTGATTAATGTCAGTGTTGGTTTTGTTGATGAAGTTCCATGGGTAGTTGTTTTGCTTGAGAGTCTCAGTGATGTTTGATATTTCCTCTTCTTTTCCCTTCTCAACCGTTGAAATCAAAGAGTGTGCTCGTCTGGGAAGACATGAAACAACTGATACTTTTGCACTGATGGGGTGTGATGATCCGAAGTCTAAATATTTGTTGTTGGAGTGGGTTTTCTTCCTGAATATGGATATACTAAAATGTCCGTTTTCTCTCCTTTTAACTAGGCAGTCTAGAAATGGTAGTTCACCGACGTCTGATTCTGCTTCCGAAGTAAACTGGATTCTGGGAGATAGACAGTTTATTTTCTCCAGGAATGAATTGTATAAATCTCGTTTTAGCACTACAAAAGTATTCTCTACATATCTTAACCATATTTTAGGAATGAGTATGCTTGAAAAGAAGTTATCTTCGAATCTATTCATTAAAAGATCAGCGACTATTGGGGAAACTGGTGAACCCATAGCAACACCATTTGTCTGTCCAAATAAATTCCCTTTAAATGTAAAATAATTACTTTCTAGACAGAATTTCAAGCTCTTAATTATTTCACTGGTGTCTATTGGATAAGTAATACTACAAAAGAACAAAATATCATTTTACATTGTGTTAACTAGACACCGCGAGAAGATAGGAATACGTTGGACCACTGACAAGAAGACTCTAGAACATCTGGAATTCACCGAAGAATTATCTTTAATATGCCTCCAAAGCCTCAGGATGGTCGTAGGTGGGTGCCTTGCGCTGCGGGTTCGCCACCCCTCCGCACACCTCTTCAAATGCTCCCATATGACCGGGCGTCTTACATAGCCTCTCCTGAGGAAGTCCTACTCACTGCCTTCACGTGGCGGAGGTGTTTCTCACCAAAGTGAGAGGGCGAAAGCGGATGCCCGGTGCTCTTCACTGGGTTGACTGTTCATTGGATGACAGTCTAGGGGAGATGGCTAAACCCTGATTCCAAACCTCCAACGACTGGCGTATGAAGCTCACTGGAGCTCACCGGCAGACGTGTGGACTAAGGGCTTGTTGGATGTCCTGGATGTATGGCCCCATTCAAAAAGGAGTATGAACCGAACTCCGGTCACCGGCTGCCAATGGATAGTGGACTCCCTACTCCACTCCTACTGCCTTGTAGGTCACACTTGGTTGTGTAAAGGCTAGAGCTGCACTCTCAAACAAAAGGCCGAGCGATTCTGGGGACTTCACTCGTACCAAATTCCCATGAAACTTCATGAACTCTTTGATAACCCTGTCGCAAAACTTTGCATCAGATCGCCACGCCTGGGCAGCGATGATTCGAGATGTTCATGAAGCCGGCTCATCCTCCCGTAGGAGATAGCCGAAGTAAACCTAAACCTATCTTTAATATCATATAAATACTTACAGGTGAAAACCAACGAGTTGGGAGAAGTCAGTGAAGACAGGACATCAATCAAGTGAACATTAAGAAGAGGGAGGAGGTGATGAAGAAAACTAACTAACTAACTAAAATAACCAACGACAACAAGCGCCAATCAATATCTGCGGAATAAATTAGAAAGAGGTCACTTCCATCACTTATCTAGGCGTCGGTCAAGATCGAAAAGGCACTTTGAAATTTGTTTGGAAATCTCAGAAGGGACATCAGTTTCTTCAAAGTTGCAGATACGTCTTGTTGACTGACGAGTGCCAACTAGCACAGAACCTAAGTTCAGAGTAGACCTCCTGCCGCCGACTGCCTCCAACCATCTAATATCAACAATTTGAAGTGCACGGGGATGGCGAACCACCTAGACTGATGACCATATTGCAAATACGTGACTGATAGAATTCAGTCTGCGGCGAAGATAGGACTAGACGCATTACACTAGTTACTGACTAGTGTTTAGTCAAAAGATAGCTTCTTCACTCTACAGCATAAGGAACAATATTCGGATATTCAAAACCAATGTTAAGCCAGTCAGTCAGTTCTTCTGTTGACTTATAATATACAGATGATATAGTCCTTCTAGATGAAGACGCTGACAAAATGCAAAATCTTTTGAACACCTTGAGCTGGGATTAACGAATGTTTGGCGTGCGATTTGCTCCCACCAAATGTAAGATGATGCTACAGGACTGGACTGGACTACATTGACTCACTCCTAGCTTAGAAATATGGAGTGAAGTGGTAGAGCACGTTGACCACAATTTCACTTATTTGGGAAGTTGCACCAGGCAACGCCAATGGGTTGATCGTTGACGAAATCTCAGCACGGATACAGAAGGCTCGTTTCGCATATGCCATCGAACTATTCCAAAGTGTTTAATGTTTGACTCAATGTTTATTTCACTGCCTTGTATGCTACAAACATCATGTGAACGAACACGTTCGTGTAGATCATTCCGTTTATGCCTGAAGGTGAAGTTAACTGTCTGACATTTGGAAAGATTTAACAAAAGACCAGTTAGCTTAGACCGCTGGCACAGATCCAACAAAAAGCAATTCAGTTTGGAACAGTCAGATTGGCAAGCAACTGGAAACGAGACAGTCGGATCATCATCAGCAGCAGAAGCGTATTTAACGAAGTTGGTTTCTTCTGAAAAGAGTCATGTCATGTAAAAAGAGGAGAGAGAGAATAGCACCTTGATGGACACTGGTATTCTGTCAGAGAAATAAGAATGCAAGCAGTTATCAGCCCAAGGACTCGGTTTTCGTCAAGGGAAGTTCATTTAACACAAAAGACATCTGAGTGTACAGAGTAAAAAACGGATGTGTAATCCAGGAAGGCACAGAACATATTTGGCTTCTTTCTCTAAACAGGAAACAGTATTATAGTGTAACACTATCATACAACAGATACTGGATTTAAATACAACCCAAATACAATACAAGCCTAACCAAATGATTATTGTGAGCGTCACCAAAAGCATTTCCGACAGCAAGCTATAGACATTTATTAACAACTGCCTCTCTCATTGGCTCCATACTGAAGCTCAAACCGCTGGCCAGCAAAATGAAAACCCAAGGAATGAAGCAAAAAACAAGAACCTATCGCTCAACAAATATGTAGAAGAAAATTGGAGATAGGTTGGGCTAACGCTGTAGAGACCATCGAATGATATAAGTATAAAACTTGGGCACTGTGTTAGAGTGTAACTCCATTATCGATAAGATTTTATTTTGATAAATCACACAGTGTTATACAGTAATATTTACTGATGACCACCTTTCGAGCACAATTTATACACTGCTCATAATCATATCAAGGGACTCACTAACACAACTTTCTTGCTTCATTTATATACATGAGTAAAATTCATGATTAGACATTTGAATAAAAATCAATATAAGATGATAAAGTACATTCGGAAATAATATTAATGTTATCAATCCCAGAGACAAGCTGTGTGGGCTAAAGGACCCGGTGAGCCCAATTAAACAAAATAATATAATTTACAAAATACCTTGTAATGACTGTGAGTGAGGTCAACTATATAGGTCAAACTAGTAGATCGGGGGTAATCAGATTGTCGGAATATAAGAATTTAGCCAAGGTAAGAATGGTTGACCCCGAGAAGATAAGTAATGTGGAAAAAAGCTCAGCAATTGCACTGCATGCAATAACACACAACCACACAATAGGGTGGGAGAGGATTAAAATTCTAAGAAGTAATATGGGTAGGTAAAGAGAGAGAGAGGTTGATTACTGAATACTGGTTCATCCAGTCTACACCTAACACATGCAACAGAAATGACTCAATGCAAATACCAGAGATATACATGGAAGATATTATTACCACCAGTCAGTCAAATCAGAAGAGGATAATAAATAATCATAAAATTCTATTTCAATTCAAGCACATCACAACATTCTAACATGTTACTTACTTATTATGACTATAAAAACACTCGTCTTATTTCCCATCTGATTGTATTTGATTGATAACACTCATATTATTATTTCTCAATGTACATTATCCTATATTGATTTTTATTCAAATGTCTAATCATCAGTTCCACTCATGTATATAAATGAAGAAAAAACGTTGTGTGAGTAACTTGATATGATTATGAGTGACAATAATTTGTGCTCGAAACGTGGTCATCAGTTAATATTACTGTGTAACACTGTTTGATTTATCAAAATAAAATCTTATCCATAATGGAGTTACCATCGAATGACATCGTGCACCAGGTAATCGCTCGAGTGGAACACGAATAAGAAACAACAAGTTGGGCGTCGGTCTAACGGTAACATGGAGGAGGTCAGAGAACATTAGTAACCATGGTGTCGGCTAAAGAGGATCACAGAGAATAGGACAGAGTGGAGATGGGTTGTTGAAGCCCTATGTTCCACTCGGAACCCAAGGGAACAGTAACGATAATAGAAAAAAATAGTTAGTATTCTAAGCAATAACATAGGGTTTTTAAAAATATCATGGAATTCGAAATTTTTCAAACTCACTTCTTCAATGTATCAGCAGACGACGAAGAACTCATATCAAGTGATAACGGTGGTAGGGTAATGAACGACGTGAACTGGATTAGCCAATTCATATTCAACATTAAACGTAATGAGGTTGAATAGAAGAGTAAAGTTGAATTCAAAGTAGAATTATTCAATGAAATAATAAGTTTGGGTAATTTTGACGATTTATTTCCAGCCGCCGCCTCCGCCTGTGGAGATGATACAGTTGGTTGTTGTTGTTGTTGTAGACCTTGTAAGATAGTGTTTTGTTTCTGAACTCCTTCTGAAAGTAAAAGTTTAAACTATTGTAAGAATTATATTCACGAAGATATATGAATAGTGGTCAAATTAAAGGCAGTCGTTTATACTATGCTGGGAGTCTGAGGGTGTAATCAATCGTACTCTACTGGTAGTTTAGTCTGGGTTTTCCCCCCAGACGACCACCATGGAAGTTAGGCTGACTTTCTACTCAGGGGAAAAACAAGAGGTTTAAACAATTTTATTCTCGAAAAAATGTGCATCCCTGTGGCGGTCTCTTAGGTGGTAGTCAGGTTTCTCATACGGGAAACAACTCCAGAAATGGCCTGGAACATACCTGGTGTGTGAATGGCATTAAACAGATGTCTCTTGGTCTTTAATATCACGGAATACCTAATGCTCTCTCTTTCAGTCAAACAATCATTCAAAGTCAGTGAGTAACCTGTTGATAGACTTGTCTATTAGTAAGATTGCCGCCCATGTATTTGTTAATCATACTACTTCTTGGCCGTTCAATCACAACTTAGAATGCATTCCTCCCTTCCCCCATCCAGCCTTTATTCTCTCCACTACTTCTAGTTTTATTGAAAAGAAACAATACACATTTAACTGTCTACAAGTTTTTTTTTCTTTCCCGTCTTTTGGGGCAGTATTTTCTCCAGAATTCTCATTTGTCACGTGCAAAGCATTGACCTCTTCCGGGGCTGATTCTTAGCGCAATTTTTTTGAGCTGCAAATCTACGATTTTCTACTCCAAGTCGTTGGATTTTGGTGGCTCTATTGAGGCTACAATTGTGCTCAGTAGTTGTCTAGTTACCTTTTCGAGCTCACTAATGTTGTTGATAAGTTGCTTGGAGTTAACCAGTTGTAGCTGCTGGGAAACGTGTTCTGGAACACGTTTGATAAACTGGGAAGTGTATGACCAAGTAGACGTGTCAGCTTTAGTGCCAATACTAGCTGGTCTCTCTGTCTGCTCCCAGCTTCATAACACGGAACTGCTACATTGTCTACTATTTCGCTGTCGTGCTGTCAAACTCTGCCATCAGTCATTCAATCAATAACTTCCAGGTGTCCTGTATATTGCCAGCTCCACACTGTCGTAAACCACCTCCCTTCGCCTTTGGATCCTGGATGCCCAACAACTCAGACACTTAATAGAAGCTTCGTCGAAAGTTCCTTATGTCTCCTTCTCTGAAAGATCCAAGCGACAGAATCTTCACTGTCTGAAGGCAGCCGAACACATAAAATATAGGCAAAATACATCTACCATACACATATGTATATAAGAATCAGTTTGCGCATATCTTCAGTGATATTTGGCTACTTTTGTCTTCCATATTGTACTTCATTGTCTTCTTCTTATGTTTCTCATTTTTTTCAAAAAAGCATAGTTCATAATTCTTCTATCCCTCCACTATTCGATATTCTTGAAGATGATATACACATTTTTAGTTAGTATCTATATACTACTTACAAATCTTGTCAGTAGCATACAGCAGAATGGAATCAATCTAAAACTCAACAAGAAACTAACAATCTCAATAACAGAAATGCACCGCCTTCAACATTAACGAAACAAGTAATTACTAAATTTTGTTTAATTTTATTCCTTCCTCATTACCTGTTGTTTTACTGTCTTCATGAAATTCCATTAAATTGATGTCGAAACATTGAAGTTGTATCATTGTACTTTGATTTGAAAAATATTTAAATGATAAAATTCCATCAGACAGATTGATGATACCAAATTGTTTATGATTATCATTATTATTATTCGCCAAATTCAAATGAACCGGTAACATTGAACAATTGAACAAATTGATTTGAATTGAATTTAAACAAATATCAAGTGCAAATTTTGTCCAACAGACATCATTAACAAATGATTTCTGGAATCAGACGAGAAAAGACAAAAAAATAAGAGAGAGAATAATAAATTTTCTATTGTTAGTTTGTAAGGATTAGTTTTGTTTTTATGAGTTGATCACGGGTTGATATCAGTTAGAGAAACATTGAAAACCAGCCACAGGGAGTACTGGACAGCTGCTTCATCCTACTTTGGGAATCATCGGCAGTGGGCACCCACCGCCAGGGTTCGAACCCAGGGCCTTCGGGTTACAAGGCAAGTGGGTATACAATTCAGCCGGTGGGACCAGATTCAGTGACCGATCCATGAATTATAACTTCTACCAATTCTTGATATTGCTTGGGGTCGCGCTAAATCACGAATTGGTAGAAGTTAGAATTCATGTGCTGGCCACTGAATCTGGTCCCAGTGGCTGAATGGTATACGCGCTAGCTTGCCTTGTAACCGGAAGTTCCTGGGTTCCCAGCCTGATGGTGGGTGCTTACTACCGATAATTCCCAAAGTAGGATGAAACAGCTGTCCATTACCCCATGGTTTTCAACGGTTCTCCAACTGATACCAATCCATGATCAACTCGAAAAACAGAAAAATAAATGAGGATAATCGTGTACAGTTTTAACGAACGAAATTCCCTACAATTATTAATCAATAATTGGATAAAGCTTTGATGTTTGAAGTGATACCTACTGGTTTTGAGTACCAATGGGAACACCAACCGTCGTTACCCCTGCACCACACATACTGGAGAGATGCTGATCGGAAAGTAGCGACCTGGATTCTACACTTCTAGTCATCACCTAACCGAAAAACAAGTAACTCATCAAGAAGGAACTGATCAATTGCGACCAGGCTTACCGAAAGTAGGATCACGAAAGTTAGGGATTCAGACCATATACCTAAATGGCTTCAGAAGCAAACAGAATCCCCAGAACCACCCATTAATGGTGAGAACAGGTCACCTAGCTCCTCTGTTACGAAACATATTATAGAGACAGGACATAAAATTGACGTTAACAGATCTTTTAAACCTATCTATAAAACGTCTTTGACGAATGGTGCATCCTAAAGTTTGTGGAAGCCCTAGCTGGCAGTTAGGAAGTTTAAGCCACGTTTATGCATTCAAAGCAATAATTCGTCATCACACTAAACCACCTTCCTTGGTAAACTTTGTTTTGATACCGGCCAGGGTAGACGTACTATTACCTCTATTATTTGGTTTAGTGATCTTCATTGTTATATTGACCTTCAACATGGTGGCCTTTTAACTTGACTTAAATTTATTTTCTCACCTCTTAACTCTTTATTATTTTCTTATGACAAGTCCGTGGAGTGTAATCAGATTGTTCGATATAAGGGTTACACAAATACACATAACACGATTCAAACAGGCAAATTACGTCTTCTTATTGCTTTGTATAAATAAATAAATAAATTAGTGATATATTACAAGGGCGTTTTCTATTTGCCTTCATTATTCTTATTCGCTTGCGTATCGAGTGGAACATAACAGGGCTTCAACAACACCCCCATTTTACTCTGTTCTCTGTCGTCCACTTTATCTGGACCCACGATACTCCACCAACTTTCATCTCCTGCTCCTCCTTTTCCTCCTAACACAATCTGCTTTTCTATGTCACCCTTGAAGTGACATCCAACTCGTCTCTTGTTTTCTATTGGGTTCCACTACATCGATGATCTGGCTAGCGCACGATGTCGCTCAATCGTTTCCTCAAATTGAGTCCGATTCACCCACCTCCAGCTCTTTAGGGATATTTTTTGGCGATATATTCTTGACTGGTTCGTTCGCAGAGTTTTTTTTGGTGCTAATTCTTTCTGGAATTCTCATCTTTACTATGGGGCTAGGGAAGCCAAATGTTGATTGCCTATGTTTAGAACAAAATGTCCGGGTCAGTGTTGACGTAAGGATGATTTAACGATGTCAGAAAATTAACATCGTGATACTGGTTTAGTATTGGTTATCAGTATTGGCATCCAGGACAAGTATGTTTCATCCTCTATGTAAGATGCTTCAATCAGATGCGTCTGCATCCTCATGGAGTGAAAGGTGTTCCATATTGAGATACCAACTCAGTGCATTAAGTGTTTCAAACATCAAAACATTTTACACTAGGTGCGTCGGTGGCACAGCGGTTAGGACGCTCGCCGACCAAGCACATGGTCCGGGGTTCGAATCCCGGCCGACGCACCCCTTTACCTCGCTAAGCCAGAAATAAAAGCTGGTAAAGAGGAAAGGTTGGGCGTGAGGCTAGCAACCCCATCCTGTAAAAATTAAAACTGCTACAGAAACTTCAAGCTTCTAACTTGAAGCCCGATGTTTCACTGGGAACGTGAAGCAAGAAAAAAATCTCGCCATCTCAATCCACGTAGCCTCACAGCATCATCGATAAACCTACTTTCCCTAGATACCTAATACTCTACGCGTAACCTCAATATTACTGTGTTTATATTGTAACGACAGAAGACAAGGGCCAGGCAACGGACCCTTAACTGAGAAAATCAACAGATATTTATAGATTTTTATGTATATTATTAGGTGTTATTGTTAGCAGAGAAGCAACCTCTTCTGATTGGTTGTTTTGTTGCTAAAAGGTTATTCTGTGCTGCTTGTGACCGTAGCTTACAAAGTTATTCACATATCTGCGAATCGTATTTGAACACGTTAATCGACGAGGCCATTAAGTTACATAGATTGAGATGGCTAGGTCACGTGCTGCGTATGCCTAACCATCGCCTCCCCCTCCCGACGGGCATTACTAGTTGATATAGGTGCAGGTTGGAAAAGAGTAAGTGGTGGCCAAACAAAAACATGGCCTCATCAATCCATGAAATCCTTGACAGTTAAACTGAGTCAGGTAGGGAGATGCAGACTTCTGGGTTGGGGCCCGCCCTCGGGACTCTAAGAATCAATGGCTGGAGACAATAGGTGACATGGCTCAAACTCATCGTTGTCAATGGCTTACGCAGATGTATTCAGTCTCTGTAATCTTTCATATTCCTTTCTACCATTACTCATTCTGTTTCACTCTTATACTTGTCAAAACTCTATTGATTCTCTTCACTCATTTTCTTGTCTACCTTTGTGTGCTATTTGGAACGTGGCAACTCGAACTGGTGCACTTCGGTGCCAAGTTCTATGTTGAATCCAGCCAGAAGCCAGCCAACGTTAACTCTGCCATGATTGGTTGTTAAGTTCCTCAAGGTTAAGCCTTGCTCTTGTTTTTTCTCATAATCCCGATTCGGGACGTAAACATAGACGTAAATTATTGTCTACGCTTTTGGCTTGCAGACAGCTCTCACCACAAAATGACCTAACACGGGAGATACAACGAAGACACCAGTGATCAAAGACAGCTAGTCTTTTCATATCTTTCAACTTTCGATAACAGCGATAAAGGAGGATGGAACGAACTAGTTCTGTGCAGTACTCAAATTCTCTGGTCGACAGGCAGGAAGATATCATGTTTTGGCAAGTCCCACATGAGATTTCGTCAGAAGGGTTCAACCCGTTAGGGTTGATACCACTTGACAAATAAGTGAAATTGGTGAACACACTCTACCACTTCTTTCTACACTGTCTTCAAGCTAGGGGGAGTGTCGGTGTAGTCCAGTCCTGGAGCATCGTCTTACATTTGAGTGGACCAAATTGTATGCCAAACATACACCACGAATAACTGCAATTAATCAAAAAATCGCTGAGAAGAGATATACGAATCACTAAACGCACTATTACAAACACAAAGCCAACATCTGTTTTAAAAAAAAACATACCGTTGTACTAACGCTAGAGATTGAATTTTCACCAAAATTCTGTGACAAAATTCCACGAATCAATCGATATGTATAAGTATTCATATAAACTTGACAATCACTAAGCTTTCCAGTTAATTTTATGTCAGGCAATTCGTGTACACTTGATGAAGTTAAATTACGCTCCAAAATTAAACTTAAACAAGAAATAGGCCGGGAAAGAATGCTGCATGGGAAAACTTCTTCAGTTGTTGTACATTCAAATTGATTATTCACAGGAATAAACGAATAGGTTGGAAATCGAACTAGAGGATTATTCACACCTAAGTAAAATATATAAAAATAGTAAAAAAAGAGATAAGTTCATTTATTTTCAAAGCAGGCACTAAAGGGGTATATATACAATTAAATGATTGCACAGCTTCCAGTGTCTATTGGAATCACATTTTCCAATAATCATAAAGAGTAAATGCACTTACCTGTGAAAACAATTCTAAGCCATGTCACCGACAATCTTCAACCACTGATTTTCACTCAACCCAAGGATTCCCAGCAAGACAACAACTCCTAACTATTTTCTAACCGAATCATATGTCAACTAAGATCTCTCGATAAGGAAGACAGACAATTAATTTAGCAAAAATATTCGATCAGACATCTATAAAACACAAAATAACTGAGCCAGCAAAGAATATCCTTTTCGATAATTTCCTCCTCTTCTGGCTCTACAATTATTACGGAAAGGTTTATATACACAGAGTATTCTAGAGTAGTAGTCAATAACAATATTAGTGTATTTTTTTAAATAACATTGATTTGTATAGTAAGATCACAATGGAATCACAGTTCATTAAAGATGCTTAAATTATAATATGCATAAAAATATAATAGCAAATAGAATATCAAAAAATAAGGAAATTCCTACAAAGAAATTGAGGATCAAACCAACCCAGATGGCCAGCGGGGTAAGGACAATGTCTGAACTAGTTTCTTTTGGTCGCATAAATTAGGCTTCTTAAAATGTGGATCCCTACGGCCAGCCTCAGCAACATTTAATAAAAGAACTCTTAAGGCGAAGTTAGGATTTCTCGGTGTGCGGTAAATGACCCTGAAAGCCTGGTTAACATCAATCTTGTGTTCTGTATCCACAAGATGAAACAGAATAGCACTGCGAATAGATTTTGCTTGTCCTTTACTTAACCAACCACCCAGGGGGATGTTAGGGAATCCGAGGAGAAACACGCCTAATTGTACGGCCTATGTAACTGGCTCCACAGGATTAGTTAAATTGGTAGATACACATGGAAGAGGCGAAACTCGGCAGTTTGTCTTTCACTCCCGAACGCAAAAGAGGAGTGATTTTAAAGATACAGCGTAATTCGGCAGTAGAGAATGCTCTTTTTACTGCATTTCTAAGACGCTGTGTTAGTATCTCACTGGTGTTGTCTCCTAGGAACTGCATTTGTAAGAACAAGGCCTTTTTTGGAACTGTTCGTACATTGGGCTACTTTGATTTTAGATTCATATTCTTATCCATAAACTTTTCGGGATAACCATTCTCACTTAGCAACCGTTTAATATTGTTAAGTTCCTCGTCGAGACATTCATCCGAGCAAATCTCTCTTGCTCTGTGCACCAAGCACCTTATCAGATTGCGCTTGTATTTCAAGAGCACGAAGCTGAGAAAATGAGTATACTGACCCGTTGATGTAGGTTTTCTATATGCACTTCTTCTTATTGTACCATCCTCTTTTCTGGTCATAAGGACGTCTAGAAATGAAATACTAGAGTCTTCTTCTTTCTCAGTAGTAAAATATATTGCAGGATGGACTTCGTTAAATTTATCCAGGATGTTCTTTGCTTCATCCTCAATTTTCATAATCAAAAAAGTATCATCCATGTATCGACAATAAAATTCGAGTTCATTAATAACATCTTTCAAAGGCCCATTTTCTAGTTTCGCCAGGAAAATGTCGGTTAGAATGGGTCCTAGTGGTGACCCCATTGCCACACTGTCAATTTGTCTATACAGTTCCTTATTAAATAACAAGTGGACATTCATTGTACATTTCAAGAGAAGCTCTTTCATAAAAGATATAGGAATGCCAACATCGATGTTTCATCTTATGAGTTCTTCGCATACAAAGTCCACTGTTTCCATAAGTGGTACACTGGTACATCAGGAAGATACGTCAAATGATATCATGAATTTATTGTCAACATTTAAATCTTTTATCATTTCAACAAATCCAAAAGTATCCTTTACGCTGTGTTTCACCAACTCGATATGAAGAGGCTTTTAGAGTTCGACTAACCATTTAGCTACGGGATGGTATGGTGAATTTAACATATCTAATACTGGTCGAAGCGGTACGCCATTTTTGTGCACTTTAGGCGAGCCGTATAATCTTGATGTGAACCTTCCAGTGGGTTTAAGTGATGTATACCAACTAAGCAACTCTCTCAGAGATAAACTTTGTCGGATTAAGGACCCGCCCGATAGATACGATTAAGTAAAAAAAATAGCATAATTTACCAAGTAACATGTGACAATGACTGCGAGGTCAATATTAAAGCATAGGTCGGACTAGTTAATCTGGGTCAATTCGATTATCGGAACACAGAGAGAGGTTAATCACTGACTGAGTATTTGTTTATCGATTCAACACCACACACACACGTTGAATCGAAATGACACAATACCTATGATACCAGAGAGATATAGAAAGTAGCAAGAGGTAACACAACGGGAATTGGAAGGGGAAATATATGTAAGATAAATTGTGAGATGGTGTGACTAAAACTGATATGATTGTGCTCGAAACCTTGTCACATCCAGTTGTTGATTAATACTGCATCGTCACTTTGTGTGTGTGTGTGTGTGATATATTTGAAAATAAACTTATCCAATATGGAAGGAAGACAGATAATCTGAAAAGTGCGTAACACATATCCTAACTATATCAACCAACTAAGCTTCACAACCTTAATCAAGTGAATCTTCCTCCCACTTACCTAACACACTACACTTAACTTCAATACTACTTAGCGAATTATACCACCTAACACGAGAGACAGAACAGAGACATCACCCATGGCTGAAGACATCTAAGCAGCAGACAAATTTCAGATAAATCAATCAATCGCCACTCACTTTTAGAGCTCATTTTCATAAAAGAGTACAATAAGAAGAAGTCAGACCTTAGTCTGCGTGCTAATGTGGCGTATGCTAAGTATAGATGCAGATTGATAGGAGAAGAGGCCAAAAATTCAAATCAACACTTAAAGTCAATGGCTACATAGGAGGTCATATGCACCGATCTCCTCCTTTCATCAACTGGTACTGCAGACATCCCGACACAATCTGCAATGCCTTCTTCGTTAGTAGATGTAATGGGAGCTTCTCCTCATCCAGTGACAAACAGTAACCCCCCCCTGGTGATGACGGAACACGCCACAAAGCAGCAGGTAGACGCCGTCGCGATCCAGTAGTTCAGCATATTGTTGACATATTATTGTACCATAGAAGATACTGATAAATCAAGGTACTTGTTTTGAAAGTTAAGAAGTTACATCCCAAACACGTACACAGAGCAGAATTGTTCGACAACAGAGAAAGAATGTTTAGCAGAAGTATGCGGGGGGGTAGAAAAATTGAGACCTTATTTACTCAGTCAACGATTCCACATCGAAATTGATCACCTACCATATTCGTTCCGTATTAGTAAATGAAAATTTCATCGGTTACGGTCCAAAGTAGGGTAAGTCGGGATGTACAATTGTTGGGGTCGACCTTTTCTAACCCCCTCTCTCCAGAAAGGAGGGACAGCATAGCTGGCTGGCATGCTGGTCATCTGAGGGAAACACACTGCTGTTACATCCCTGTTCCCCAACAGTACGACTTCATCCACACACACCCAGCATAGTGTATAAAAAAATTCCTACACTAAGCCGGTAACTGCTTTTAGTCTAATCCCCATTCTAACAACCTTCCTGGCATGGTATGACCTGCAGGAACATTGGTTCCAGCCAGTGTAGCTTGTTGGATCATCGCTATGTGCAAGCCCCGACCACCACGTCAAGGTAGCAGCTATCGGTCGGGTTTGATTCCCTAACTGCAGAACAAATAAATTTCCTCGATAATTATGATCCCACTACTCATTAATCCGACCTTCCCGTTATTATTATTGTAATTGTTACTATTATTATTACATTTCAATCGCTATTTGCAATGTTATCCAATTTGCCCCTTGACTTGAAACCGTTCTGGAACTATTCCACTCCTATAATACATGTATACATGAATGTACAGAGCTACCTAGCTGATGACTTCGTCGAAAAGAAGATTTTCTACGCTTCAGGCGCTTATTTGGCATTTCTTTATGAACAATCAGTTTAAGTATGCTAGGAAGCGGTTAGGCTCTCATGTACGACGCTGGAAGGACATAATAGACTGTTGTGAAGCGAATCACAGAGGGGTGTATCAATCATACGTTGTTTGCAGTTGGAAAGATGCTCACAGATAGAACTACGATTTATATTCCGCTCATTCCCGCTACCTCACCCTACCTAGTGCCGTGTTGAACAGTCTCACACAAAATACGTTCCCACCGACTGATGTACTTCGCTCTAACAGAAAAAGACAAACACAAAACAACCTTAAGACTTAATCAATATCAGGGAATTTCCCCATCATCCAATTAGAGAAATCAGCATCAAGGATAAAATAAACTTAAGTAATAGCAAAACTGATCATACCTGAATCAAGCATTACGTCATCACCAAACGTATCAATCCGTTCTGCACAGTATAATGAAACTTCATATAAATCCATAGATATTTGATCAATTAAAAGATGTTGTTGTGGAGTAGAATCTGAAATATATTTTAAAATAAAATGGTCCCTATTATTGTTATGATTATCATTAATTAAAATAAAACAAGCAATTACAGTTTTTAGAGCTTTACTATTCCTTCGGGTTCCGAATGGGACATAGGGGGATCCAACACCACATCTCCATTCCATCCTATTCTCTACAGTCTTCTTCAACTAGCGCCGGATTGCCCACAAGCTTCCATTTCATCCTTACAAGATCTTCTCCAGCTCACCCTCGAAATGACATAGAAATCGTTATTTCTCACTCGGGTTATACTCGAACGATGGCTCGGCGAGAGATGTCATCCAACGGTCCATTTTCTTCAGGATACTTGTTGAGCGATACCTTCTTGATTGGTTAGTTTCCAGAGATTCTTATTTCTAATTCATTCTGACCAACCATCTGATATCCATTACGAAGCAAGGGAAGAAGACAGCTATTGGTAAAAATCGGTAGTAGAACGTTCGAAATGTCTTCTGTGAAGCTTGCGCCAAGTATCTCACCAATACAGAAGACTTGTCTCAGTTAACGTTGGTGTTGTACATCTGAATTTTGTTCTTTATTATGAGTGAAGCACATTTCCACACTGTTTTCAGAGGGATGGTCTGTCTTGACTTTCTAATTTTGGTTTTGATATCCTTATCCATGTCTACGTCTGTAGTTGAGACAATGGTGCCTAGATAAGTGAAGCAAGTGACCTGTTTCAAATCTCTCCCATTGATGGCGATGGGTACTTGCTGTTGTTAGCAGTTAGATATCTTCATCAGTGTAGTCTATATCTGAGGCACTAGAGGTGGTAGGTAAGAAGATTTGAAAGTGCAAACCATCTCCTTTGACCAACTACCAGCACGATGTGCTACTACTCAAAATCACATATTAATATACTTAGACAATGGTATGAGGATGTGTCAGCACCTGTAAAGTTTACTAAGCCGTCCCACATACGCTGAGGATTGAAGAGTCTCCACAAAAGGCGCTATTATTGCATAAAGTTTGATGAAAAAGCTTGACGATGTGGCGACAACAGGGCAGGAGCATAAGGTTAGCGACCTCTTAATATGTCATCTCTTGTTTATTGTTTGAAATGTCCACTTAGGCTTTAATGGTGAGTGAACAGTGTGTGTTGTTTCTAGTTGACACAGGGGCATCATCCTCTGTAATCCTCAAGGGGTTGCTACAGCAACTAAAAGCAAACCATAATCCTCTCTTCAGAAAACAGGAAACAATTGCAGAGAATATATATATATATATTCAAGAGTTGGTTTGTAAGGGTTAGTTGATATCAGTTAGAGAACCATTGAAAACGAGATAAGGCGTACTGGACAGCTGTTTCATCCTAGTTTAGGAATCATCGACAGCAGGCACCCATCGCCAGGTTTAGAACCCAGGACTTTCCGGTTACATGACAAGCTCGTATATCATTCAGCCACTGGGACTCGATTCAATGGCCAGCCCATGAATTCTAACTTCTACCATGGGCCATTGAATCTGGTCCCAGTGGTTGAATGGTGTACGAGCTTGTCTTGTAACCTAACGGTCCTGGGTTCAAACCCCCCAGTTAATATGTATAAATTACATTAACCCACAAAGTAATCACACTCACCTTGTGTATTGAAATTAGAACATTCTAGAAGTCCCGTTGAATTACTTTTGTTCAACGATCTGCACACAGAAAATAAAGAAAGACACGAGAATAAAGGACACAGAAAAAAGGTAAATAGGAAATAACTTCTGAAAGTACTATTCATCTACCCCCCCCTAGGGATCTCAGTCCAAGGTCCACAGTAAATCCATTCAGGTAAGCTGCGTCAGTTCCCGAGTGGGCTGACTGATTGGTGATGAAATCTCACCACGAATACAAAAAGCTTGTGTACCATTTGATAACTTACACCATCCCTAATGCATACGTGATATGCAACTGGCTATCGATCAAATGATGGGTGTAGTGTACATCAATTCGCTCTATCCTTCCCCTTATGGCTGAGATATGATCGTCAAAAGTCGAAGAGATAAAAAGGTTAGCCGTCTTTGGTCATAGTTGTCTCCGTTGATCCAGGTAAGAATGTGTACACTATTTGGTTGGAGTCCTCCTCCAGATGCTTAGAATGAATGACTGGAGAAAACTGGTGATATGACTTAAAATATCCATTGAACCCTACTTGTTTTTTTCTAATTCCAATTCCAATTACAATTTGCACCCCGGATACCATAGAAGACGAACTGGACAATCTCGTCGAGAATTGTTATCCAGAATGATTTATTGCAAAATCCATGAATCCTACACCTCATAAGCCGCCCACGCTCATCGTCTCGAAAAAACTCCTTTACATGAACCTTCAATTCAATGGAGATTTATTAGCGGAAACATTGAAAAATCGACTATAGCGTTCACTCGAGAAAACCTTCTTCGCAGTTGAACTACGATTAACCTTCTCCACGAAACCTATGATCGGTATGAACGTAAAGGGTAAGCTACCGTGGCTGGCCTCATCAATGTGTATCTACCAATTCACCTGCTCGTGTGGAGTCAGGTATGTCGGCCGTACCCAGCGTTCGCTATCCAAACGTATCACCGAACACTTTTTAGCATGGTTTTAGAAAAGAGAGAATCGATGCCCCTGCAACTCTATCTTAGAACATCTGTTAGATTCCGGACATCAAGCTACACCCCACACAAACTTCAGAGTTGTCTACAGAATACGAAGCAGTCTTCCTAAAAGTGTACGAGTCTTCAAACTCTTCAAACTGCAGAAGCAATGGCAATTCACTTTGCTCAACTTTACTTCTAGTTTACTTAGTCTCTACCTGTAATTACCTCTGATGCTATCCTGACCTAAGTTGAAACATTTTAGTCAATTATATTACGTCATCTCACTTACTAACTAACTCAATCTTACTTTACTTGCTGTCTAATTAACCTTGTATCTATATTAGATCATTCTTGTATTACCTAATTAATTATCTAAACGTGACAAACCTCATGTACATACACACAAACAAATAATTTTATCTATAAATGCGATTGTACTGGATGGCTGGATTCAACATAGAACTTCGCACCGAAGTGCAGCAGTTCGAGTTGCTACGTTCCAAATACCACACAAAGGTAGACAAGAAGATGAGTGAAGAGAATCAATAGAGTTTTGACAAGTATAAGAGTGAAACAGAATGAGTAATGGTAGAAAGGAATATGAAAGATTACACGAGAGACTGAATACATCTGCGTAAGCCATTGACAACGATGAGTTTGAGCCATGTCACCTATTGTCTGTCTCCAGCCATTGATTCTTAGAGTCCCGAGAGTGGGCCCCAACCCGGAAGTTTGCATCTCCCTACCTGACTCAGTTTAACTGTCAAGGATTTCATGGATTGATGAGGCCATGTTTTTGTTTGGCCACCACTTACTCTTTTCCAACCTGCACCTATATCAGCTAGTAATGCCCGTCCATCGGGGGAGGCGATGGTTAGGCATGCGCAGCACGTGACCTAGCCATCTCAATCTATGTAACTTTATAGCCTCTTCGATTGATTTTCCCTCTTCGCCCAACACTCTACGCCTAACGTCAACATTACTTACCTTATTATGCCACATAACGTGAGAAAGAGATCGTAGACATCTATGATCCAAAACAGAAAAATGCAATTGTACTGCTATGTGAATGAATTAGCCGAAAAAGGTCTCTTCGCTGAACGTCTTCTCTTTTTCATACGACTAAATGGGAAGTTTTAGGCCACAGTTCCTTCTGCTTATCATAGTCTTTTTCAACCCCTGTTTTCTCTCTCTCTCTCAATTTTATACCTTTGTGTGGTAACGTGGAGGGAGTGTGGCGACTCGAACTGGTACACTTCTGTACATGGTTCTATGTTGAAACCAGTCAGTCATTTAGTAAACGACATAACGTTATATCTGTAACTGAATGAAAAGTTACAATTCAAGTTGTTATTGACTGTCAGCCAACTCAGGTGAATGCACTGTGGTGATGATATATTGTGGTGAGAGCCGACGATACAGTCCTTCTAGGCGAGGACGCTGACAAAATGCAGAGTCTACTGAACACCTTGAACAACAATCTTCGTATGTTTGGCATGCGATTCGCCCCTGTAAAATGTAAGATGATGTTGCAGGATTGGACTTCACCGACCCCTAGATTAGAAATAGGAAGTGAAGTGGTAGAGCACGTTGACCGCTTCACTTACTTGGGAAGTGCCATCAGCCAGTGCCAACAGGTTGATCTCCGACGAAATCTCAGCACGAATACAGAGGGCTAGATTCGCATATGCCATTCTACGCCGTTTCTGGCGTAGACATGATATCCGACTATCGACCAAAGGGCGTGTGTACTGCTTAACAGTCCGCTCCGTCCTCCTTTATGGCTGTGAGACCTGGCCATTGAGAGCAGAAGACATGAAAATATAAGCTGTCTTCGATCATAGGTGTCTGCGTTCTATCTCCCGTGTGAAGTGATATAATAAGGTGAGCAATACTGAGGTTAGGCTATCGGTCGAGTGCTAGGTAAGTGGGAGGGGGGGGAAATAAGTCGACGAGACTGTTAAATTACATTGAGTGAGATGGTTAGGACATGTGCTACGTATGCCTAGTCATCGCCTTGCTCGACGCGGGGAAATGGTAGTTGACATAGGGTCAGACTGGAAAAGAGCTAGCGGCGGTCAAACGAAAACACGGCACCAGTCAATGAAATCCACAACAGTTAGTCTAAGCCACATAGGAAGGTGTAGACTTCCTGGTTGGGGTTCTCAGGACGGTAAAAACCAATGGTTGGAAACAATTGGTGACATGGCTCAAAATCGTTTTTAATGGCTGGCGCAGATGCATCCGCTCCTTGTGACGTATGATTTCCAATTAAACTGTTTTGTTCTTCGTTATTACTATACCTTTGTCTCACACCTCTGTTTACTATCTTTATTATGCATTTCTCCTACTTTCCGCTTTTCTGGCTTTGTGTGCTACGTGGAGGGAGTGTGGCGACTTGAACTGCCGCACATATGTGCAAAGTTCTATGTCGAAAACCGACCGACCGACCGGTGAAAGCTGTCTGCAAGCCAAAATTGTAGACACCAGTTTACGTCAATGTTTACTACCCGAATCGAGGTTACGAGATAAAACAATAACAGAGCCTAACCTTGAGGAACGAAACAACCAATCACAGCAGACTTAGCGTGGGCGGATACGATATGGTCTGACCTTCAAAGAAACGCCCACAAAGCGATGACAGCATAACTTTCAGTCAGAAAAACAACCAATCAGAGGACGCTGTTTCTCTGCTATAATAATAACGAATAATAATGTACATAAAAATCTATAAATATCTCAATAAATATTCTCAATGAAGGATCTGTTGCCTGGCCATTGTCTTCTTTCGTTACAATATTACCTGAAACGGCTTTTGGGTGTACTACAGTGATATTAATTTAGCATGAAATCAACCAACAATCTTTTTGTTTTTACATTAGTAGTAAACTTACCGAATATTTGAGTAGAAATATCGATTATCACCTCTAGGAATATTATTATTATTATTACTATTATTAGTGTGAGATGATTCTGATTGTAGAGTTTCCATAGATCCAGAGTTGACTCCCACCGTATCACCACCACCAATAGTATTATTCCATAGAAATGTATTATCGATTTTCATTCCATTCATATTGATGACTAGAACTTTTGAACTAGTAGAACAAACCGGGATGATTAGATTCAATGGACGATGAGCAGAAATATTCAAATGTAGACAAGACAATGATGTGATATCCACCGTTGTTGGCATCTAGAAAGAAATGAAAATAAAGAAACTTTTAATGTGAATGTTTTAATACAATTTTGAATAACAATGCTAGAAAGAAATGGAACAGTGCTCATTTAAACGCCCCTACAAGCAGCTTTACACACACACACACACAACAAAGACTGGATTGTAGCTTATTAGGCATAGGTACCAAATTTTCAGTCATCACCGCCAAGGTTCGAATCCCATTTCACCTTCTTCATCAAAATGAATGACTGGGTAGTAATTTCAACCACTAATCACTAATGATGCTCTTAATTGTAGTGGAGTGGATTATGCTACTGATTAATTGATATAAGTAGATTGGATACTAACATTCACATCACTATCGCCTTCGTCGACGGTCAATGTTAGTGAATATAAGATCAGATTGCAAAGACGCCAGTGGTGGTGAAACCAAAGATTGAGATCAATCGATGAAGTCTATGGTTTCAGCCATGTAAGGCATTCCAAGAACCAATGGCTGGAAATCGTTCTCGATGATGGCGTACATGCATTCACTCTTTGCGATTTCCCATTTCTATAGAGCCTTAATGTTTCTCCCTCATTTCGGGCTTTAAGTGGTATTTTTGAACCCCTTTTTTCTGCTTCCCACCAAATTTAAGATAATCAGGCTATAGAACTGGACTACATTGACTCACTCCTAGCTTAGAAATAGGGAGTCAAGTGGTTGGTGGAGCGTGTTAACCACTTCACTTATTTAGGTGGGAAGTTGCATCAGCCAGTGCCGACGGGTTGATCGCTGACGAAATCTCACCACGGATACAGAAGGTTAGTTTCGCATATGCCAGTTTACGCCGTTTTTGGCGTAGATGTGATATCTGGCTGGCTATCGACCAAAGGACGTGTGTACTGTTCAGCAGGTAACTCCGTCCTCCTTTATGGCTGTGAGTGAGACCTGGCCATTGAGAGTCGAAGGCATGAAAAGGCCGGCTAGCTGTCTTTGATCAGAGGTGCTTGAGTCATATCTCTCCTGTGAAGTGGTATAGTAGGGTGAGCAATATCGAGGTTAGGCGTCGAGTACTAGGTAAGGAGGAGAGATCAGTAGACGAGGCTGTGAAGTTACATCAACTCAGATGGTTAGGACATGTGCTACGCATGCATCTCTAGCCATCGCCTTCCTCGACGGGCAATGTTAGTTGGCTGACATAGGATGGATCAAGTTAGAATAGAACTTGCAAGTGATGATCAAACCAAAACATGGCTTCATCAGTCAAATCAAATCCACAACAGTTAGTTTAAGTCAGTCAGTCACGTAGGAAGGTGTAGACTTCCTGACTGGCTAGTTGGGATCCTCGGGATGGTAAATACCAATGAAAACTGGATAAAATTGGTGATATGGCTCAAAATCATCGTTCTCGATGATGGCGCAGATGTGACTTATGATTTCTAATGAAACTATACTTGTTCTTCGATATTACTATTCGTTTTTTTTCATATCCCTGTCTACTGTCTCAATTTTGCATTTCTTCTACCTTCTTCTCTTGCTTTGTGTGCTACATGGAGGGAGTGTGGCGACTTGAACTGCTGCACATCGGTGCTGTGCCATGTTCTATGTTGAAACCAGTCAGTCAGTCAGTCAACCAGACAGAATGTGGTAAAACTACTCAGCGACGCAATACACATATCCTTTAAGTAAGACGTGGTTCATTGAGGCATACTGAATACATACATATCATAGATGGATATATTACTTAATTTTGTTTAAACAGTAGTAATATCGTCTTCTACTCACCTGTAAGCCTTTAACACAATATCTTGTTTGCTTTAAAGACGTGTATTGTTCTATAGCGTTCTGTAAGGTATTAATGACACTCATTAAGAAGGAATGCGTGTGTATATATGATAAGCCGGATAAATGTACCCGAAGATTAGCATTATCGTTGACTGCCACCTGTTTCATCATTTTGTCATTGGAATTGATACATCGGTTAGTGCTGGTTGTTGTTGCTGGTGGTGGTGGTGTTAGTGAAGAAGATAATTTCTTAGCTTTATTAAACTGAAAGACTAAAAATGGCAGTTGAGTATTGTTCATGACACTGTCAACAGCTAAAGGCATCGACTGTGTTGGTGCAGACATCAAACGTACTCCATATAAGGAAGCATATTGTCTGGGTAAAGCGATTAACTACACAAGGAAAGAAAAAAGAGAATATGAAAAATTGGAAAAATGAAATGAGAGAGAGTAAAAGTGTGTAGTGTGTACTGCTATTATGCAATACAATACAACACAACTCATCTCCTTTATATTACCACCTATGGACCCAAGTCCAACTAAACTAGTAATCGCTATCCACTTGCATTCCCACTTGACGGTGGCCCGAGTTGCGCGTAATGTTGTCATTCAACAGTCTTCCCAACGCTGTGTAGTACCCGATCCATCCAACTATCTCCACTTCCTTCAGCATAAGTTGTCGCATAGTACACTGCCAGAATTCCTCATTGCTCATTCGTATAAGCCGGCCATTGGATTTAAAGAATACAGTCATCAAAGGAGGTGGCTGATGATTAAAGTCTCCAGTAGCCTGTTCAAAATGATTTTTGTGACGACGCCTGTGCCAAGTCTTTGAATTATATATACGAGCATTGACTAGTTTTGGCAGCCTCGTCCGCGTCCTGACCGTCTGTAGCTGAAAGAGGCTGCCTGGATATATGAACGAAGGGATCTCTTACAAATTTCTCCCAGTTGGTATATTGATTATTTTCATCACTTCCGTCTTCTTTGTGTTCAGTTGAAGTTCTATCTTTCTCTGCCTGCTTTCTCTTCCAAATTATTGATTTTCAATATAGCAAAAATATTCATTCAGACATCTTTAAAACACAAAATCATCTAGGAAAAAATATACTTTTCGATAAATTCCTCTTCCGGCTATACAATTATATATATATGTTTATATACATAGAATATTCTAAATTAATAGTTTCTCATCGAATTTCAGAACATCACCCTGCGTGGTTAAGCAAAGGACAAACAAAATCTTTTCGCAGCGCTATTCTATCTCATCTTGTAGATACAGAACACAAGATTGACGTTAACGAGGTGGCTTTCAAAGTCATTTACAGCGAATACCAACGAATCTCAATTCTGCCTTAAGACTTCGACTAGTAAATATCGCTGAGGCTGGCTGTTGGGATCCACATTAAGAAGCCTAATTTATGTGTCCAAAAGAAGTTGGTTGGTTCAGACATCGTCCTTATCTTGGCTATCTAGGTTTGAATGATCCTGAATTCTCGTGGAATTTTCCTAATTTTAGTTGATATTCTATTTCCTACTATATCTTTATTATTATTATTATTATTATAATTATTATAATTTAATTATATTTGTAAAATCTCAGCGAAATTGAAATGATTAATTCCAACGTTTCGTTCGGCAATCTGGTCCGAACTTCTTCAGGGAAATTAATCGAATTAACATAACAGAGGTTTATATATAAAAGGAACAACTCATGTTTTTAATTTTTGTCCAATCATGAGTCATGCATCAGTCATCAACATGTATAATAAATAAATAAAATAGTATGTTTATATATATATAAAATACACAAATCAGATGTTCCATTGCGTCCTGTAGTGGATTTTACCAATTCTCCAACTTACAAACTCTCTAAATACATTTATCGAATTCTTAGTCCATATGAAATGAAAGTGGAGCATGGAGTGAAGAATTCGTATGAATTTAAGAGGAGAATAAACTTGACTAATATTGAAGAAGATGAAATAATGGCAAGTTTCGATGTTTATTCATTATTCACGAATGTTCCCGTTAATGATTCTTTAAGTATTATTCATAATTTACTTATTGCTGACGACGAACTCAGTGGTCGTTGTCCTTTAAACCCCGACAAAATTATGAAGGTATTAGAATTGTGTCTTCGATCCACGTTATTTACGTTTAAAGGGGTTCTTTACCGTCAAACAGGAGGCATTGCTATGGGATCACCAGTATCTCCGCTAGTCGCCAATCTATTTATGCACTCATTAGAAACAAATGCAATTATGAGATGCCCTAGTCCCCCAAAGATGTGGTTAAGATACGTAGATGATACCTTCATCATAATCAAACATAGTTTGTTAGATGAACTGTTTCACTTAATAAACAATATATCAGAAACTATTAAATTCTCCAAAGAGGTTGAATCCGATGACAATGAGTTGGCGTTCCTGGACTGTTTAGTACAAAGAAAATTAGATGGAAAATTTAAAATAAACATTTTTAGAAAGCCGACAAATTCGGATAGATACCTAGATTACCATTCAGCTCATCCATTTACCACCAAAGTAACTGTGGCCAAGAATCTGATCAACAGAGCCAAACGTCTAGTTACTGAGGAGGAAGATATTAGCAAGGAATTAAAATTGGTTCAATCCACTCTTGAATCAAATAATTATCCTAAAGCTTTCATAAAAAGATATTTAAAATGTGAAGACAAAGATGAATCGAAACCTGATGCTAAGAATTGGGTTAGTACAGCGGTGATTCCTTACCGCAAAGAAACTTCCGACGAAATAAAGCGAATCCTTAACGACCATAATATACGAGTGTATTTTCGTGCATCAAACACCTTACGCTCATTACTGGTTAAGGTTAAGGATAAAATCGAACAAGAAAACCAGCAAAATTGTGTTTACCAGATCAATTGTGGGGATTGTAACGCCGTATATGTAGGAGAAACTTCCAGACAGGTAAATGTAAGGGTGAAAGAGCATAAACAATGTCTAAAGGTGGTTCCAAAGACCTCTGCAGACTTGAAGAAGCTAGAAAACAACTCAGCGATCGCACTGCACTCGATAGAAACGGGACACAAAATCGACTTTGATAAGACTAAGGTTTTACAGAAAGGTTTTGGTTCATATAAAGAAAGACTGACTGCAGAAGCCCTACATATATGGGTGAATCCCAACAGTTTGAACAGACGTGAAGGTGTGATCTTAGCTGATGCATGGCAAATCCTGACTAATAAATAAATTGGATATGTTTTCAACAACTAGTCACACTGGATCAAATTCCCGATTGTCTACGTCCTTTTATGGAGAGAATAACAAATCTATAAAATTATATTATATTTGTAAAAACATCTCAATTATTTTGTAACTTTCCGGTCAAATCTTGATCATAGCTCATATGAGAATAACAAATGTTTTATGACTGTTCACCCACACACATACACACATGTACACACACACACCATTGATACTGCATAACACATATACACATATATATTTTTTAACAAAAGTAGACTAATGTTGAAAGTCTGAGGTCAAATTTTGATCACAGTTCAGATTAAAGATTTTGTTTTGTTTTGTTTACTATACCTATTGATAGCTGTTTATTGATTCACATGACTGGACAAACAATTTAAAAGAGATGTACTTTTATATATAAACATACTATTTTATTTATTTATTATACATGTTGATGACTGATGCATGACTCATGATTGGACAAAAATTAAAAACATGAGTTGTTCCTTTTATATATAAACCTCTGTTATGTTAATTCGATTAATTTCCCTGAAGAAGTTCGGACCAGATTGCCGAACGAAACGTTGGAATTAATCATTTCAATTTCGCTGAGATTTTACAAATATAATTTTATAAATGTCTACTTCTCACTCAGCGCTCAATTATTTTGCAACTATCCGATCAAATCTTGATCACAGTTCATATGAATTATAATTTAAGTATCTTTAATGAATTGTAATTCCACTGTGATCTTACTTTACAAATCGATATTATTTAAAAAGCACACCAATATTGTTATTGACTACTAATCTAGAATATTCTATGCATATAAACATATACGTACATATAATTGTAGAGCCAGAAGAGGAGGAATTTGTCGAAAAGGATATTCTTTGATCGATGTCATGTAAGAAACTAGCGAATTCTATATTGTCAGACCCCGATCACCCTCTCTATACGCAGCTCTCTCTTTGCATTTCATCTGGTAGAACTAGAAGCAACTATAGGAAGCTATATGCCAGGACTACCAAGTATAAAAACTCCACAATACCTTATCTGGCACAGCTGTTATGTGATGAGAAAACTGTTAGGCATGACACGATCAACTTACTGTGGCACTCTAACAAATAGTTTCCCACTAGTTTTTGTTCTCCTTTCTTTGTTACTATTATATTGTTGTTCACATCTTCTATTACACACTAATTTTATATTTCATAACCTGTGGTGCATTGTTTAAATATGTGAATGCAAAGCTGTTCTTTTTTATTTCCCTATTTTTCTTTTTGTTGTTGTTGCTTTATATTTTTAAATCCTTATAAAATTTATGAGGTAATTAAATGCAATATTGTAATGAACGCTGAAAATTCCATACCTGTACCACAAATACTGTTTGGAATAAAGCCATTATTATTATTAATATTTTGTGTTTTATTGATTTTCGCCAGTACAACTTCGAGTTTGCGTCACATCAAACACAAATCATCCACAAATTACTTTTCCATAGTCTTCTTGTCGGTCTAACGCATACCTGTCCTCTGAATCTCCTGACGGTCTGTTGCATAATCCAGTTCATCACAATTAGGAGTATCCTTATCGGTGATACTAGGCAGATGCCTTGTCTTACTCTTGTCTTCATTTCAAACGTCTTGCTGAGCTTTTGGTTGTGGATCACTTGACATATTTATGACTGTCAACGAGAGTGATAAAAATTTGGAGCACTCCAAAGTGTTGACGTTGTTTTCTAATTCCTTGATAGTCAACGCTGTCAAAGGTCTTTCCAAACTCAATGAAATCGAGGTAAAGACCTGACTGCCATACTAAACTCTGTTACATGATGAGGCATAGCGTGGCAATTTGATCCAGGCATGATTTGCACTTCAAAATTCCAGTTTGTTCCGGTCAGAGTTCTACACTTAATGTATCTTTCAGTCTCTCCAGAATGATGTGACTTAATATTTTGTCTGGCGTGGACAACAATATGAGTCTGCGTCAGTTGTTGCAGTGGCCTTTCTTCCAATTAGTAGGTGTCTTTCCTTCCTTCCAAATCCATAGTAGCAGTAGTGTCCCTGAATCCGTTTAGAGTGTTTCAGTTGGAATTCCGTCCTGAAGTGGCTTTCAGTAACTTGATTCCATCCAAAACTTCGTTTCTTTTGTTTTCGGAAGGTGAGGCATTCACTCATCGAAAAAGACATAACACAATTTGGGATACGATTTTATTTTGATAAGTCACATAGTGGTGTTACACAGTAATATTAACTGATGACAAATTATTGCCACTCATAATCATATCAAAACACTACTCACACAACTTTCTTCCTTGATTTATATACATGTGTGGAATTGACTAGATATTTAAATAAAAATCAATATAGGATAATGTACATTCAGAAATAATAATACGAGTGTTATTGATCAATTACAATCAGATGGGAAATAAGACGAGTGTTTTTATAGTCAAAATAAATAAGTAACTTGTTAGAATGTTGTGGTGTGCTTGAATTGAAATAGAATTTGGAGATTATTTATTATCCTCTGATTTGACTGACTGGTGGTAATAATATCTTCCATATCTCTGGTATTTGCATTGAGTCATTTCTGTTGCATGTGTTGGGTGTAGACTCGATGAACCAGGCAGGATTCAATAATCAATCTCTCTGTCTCAACCTACCTAGATTACTTCTTAGAATTCTAACCCTCCCCCACCCTATTGTGTGGTTATATGTTAATGCATGCAGTTCAATCGCTGAGCTTCTTTCTAAATTAAGTAACTTTGCGGGGTTAACCATTCTTACCTTAGCTAAATTCTTATGTTCTGACAATCTGACTACCTCCGACCTACAAGTTTGACCTACGTAGTTGACCTCACAGTCACTGGAGACATTGCGGAGTGGTCGCACTACGTCATGAATTGGCAGAAGTTAGAATTCATGGGCTAGCCAGTGGATCTGGTCCCAGCGGCTTAATGGTCTACGAGCTAGCTCGCTTTGTAACCAGAAAGTCATGGGTTCGAACTCTTTCGGTAGGCGCATACTGCTGAAGAGTCCCAAACTAGGATGAAACAAATGTCCAGTACTCTAAGCTGGTTTCCCAATGGTTCTCTAACTGATATCAGCTCATAATGAAATCCTCCAAATTATGTTTTTGTTGAAGGATTGTTGATCATCGACATTTCTACGGTCTTTAGTGGAAGAGAAGGGGGGATCTTTGAATAATGCTTAGAAATTAAGAGAAAATTATGTACAATACAACATAACAACTTACTTTAATGCTGTACATATGACCTTCCACTTGAAGACAAGAATTCGTCAGAAAATCGTCATCATGATCACCATCGTTAATGTCATCACGATGCTCACCACCAACATCAACACTACGACAACTGGCAGCAGTCGCAGTAGTAGCATCAACACCAGGTGTATAATTGACTTGAAGCTTAATCCCGCTAGAAGACAACACAGCCAAATCTGTATCCAAATTTATACAGGTCAATAATGATTGAACTTTATCAGAGGAGTCACTATTTGACAATGATTCTTCAGTGGTTTTACTGGGTTCAGTAACTATACAATTCACTGAACTGATGTCTAGCAGCAGACATAAATTTGGGCAATTATTTATCGGAATGGGGATTGATTTCGTCGCCACAGGAGGGGAGTTGGAGTAACATGAAGGAATTGGGTCTATAAAAATGTAGAATACAACAATAGACATAAAAAATGACAACATCAGGAATGACAAATTGACAATTCAGCCAAAAAACACAAGAACGTTTTAATCCTGCCTGGTTAAGTGAAGTACAAACAAAATCCATTCATATAGCTCTATTCTACCTCAGCTTGTGGATATAGAACAAAAGATTGGTGTTAAAAAGCCTTTCAAAGTCATTTACCATATACCAACAAATATTAACTTTACCTTATGAGTTCGTCTATTACATATTGTTGAGGCCGTTAGGATCCACATTAGGAAGCCTAACTTATGTATCCAAAATAAGAAGTTGGTTCAGGCCATCAAGGTTATAATGATCCTCAATTTTTCGTAAAAATTTCCTTAATTTTATTTGATATTCTATATGCTATTACATGTTTATGCTTCTTATCATAATTTATGCATGTTTAGTGAACTATAATTCTATTCCATACTCTCCGACCCCCAACACCCCCTCTATTCCCAACTCTTCTCTTGTATCTCATCAAGTAAAACCAGAAATCAGTATAAAATAATCTATGCTCGTACAACCAAGTACAGGAACTCAACGATACCATACTTGGCCCGTGTTCTAAGCGACAGAGACAATGTTTAGCGCGAAACCTATGACTTGCTCTGTTATTGACAACATAATTTTAGGCTCTTTTATTTCTCTCTTATTTTGTATTCTATAGTGAACTCCTTCTCAAACATACTTGGCTACCTAAATTATTAATGTTGGCTTCCTTTTTGTACTTTACTATATTCCTTCTATTGTGTATCCACTGGTTCCGACTATATTAGCACTATGAGTAGTACAAAATTGTCCTGTCATTAACCATCATGTAATTATTAGTTTTGTGGTTGTTTTTTCTTATTTTCTATACTTTTCGGTAATATTAAACTGACAATCATTGGTTGTGAACGCCATGGTCACCACCTTAAAAATTTTGTATTATGCAGGATTACTCACACTACCACTACAAACACTGCATTAGACCTGACAATAAAAAACAAAACAACAACCCTGAAATGTTATTTTAAGATTGTTTAGAGTTGTTTCAGCCAAATCAACTGATCATCTTGGCGATAAACATTCTTAAATATCATTTCATAACTTCTTGTATGACTATAGCTTTACTGTCACCATACATAATCATATCATAGCTTCAAATACCCAATACTGAGTTATTATTATATGATGTTTATTTTCCTTTCTACTTCTTGGTATTTTTCCGTAATTTTTAAAAATTATTTTGTGCTTTTCCTGTCTTTTTCTGCTGTTGGTGTCTTAATATTTGTTATTTTTTTTGAAATACTCTTTTTAAATGTTTGATAAAATTAGATGCAATATTGTAGATATGTGCTGAAAATTCCACACTGTACCACTAGTACTGTTTCTGGAATAAAGCAAATTATTATTATCTTTCTTAACAAATCGATATGATGTAAAAAAATATGAATATTGTTATTGATGAATATTCCAGAATAAGGAACCAGATTCACGTTTTCAACACAAATGTCAAGTCGGTCGTTCTATACGAGTCAGAAACTTGACACGTATGTCACGAAAAATATTTCCAACACGTTGCAAACTTTCATTAACAGTTGCTGCCTTCAATGACTCCATACTGAAGATCGGTTACCCGGCAGACCAAATTAGAATTAACAACCGGAAACTCGGGAGACGGACCAATCAAGAAGCTGTCACGCGAGACATATCCCGAAGAAAATGGCGACGAATGGGTTGTACACACTCTGTGGAGACAGCCGGGTGGCATCAAGTGCCAGACCATCAGTTAAATGGAAATCCAATGAGAGATGACCTGTTTGGCGTCGCTTCTAGGGAGATATGAGGGAGATCGTGTAGGGAGGAGACGACAGCGACCATGGGGTTAGTTCAGTGGGATTGTTGAGAACAGGATAAAAAGAAATAGACATGCTTTGTTAAAGCCCTATGTTCCACTCAGACACTGAGAGAATAATAATGATAATAATATAGATATATATGAAACCATAATTGTAATTTACTTTGATCTAATTTTCCAACAGTTTCTTTCAGACCCTCCTCTTTATAATCATCGCACAAATTCAAAAAATCCAAAAGTAACACCCATGGTTCAGATAGTAATCGAAAATCCAATGTGTCCATGCTTAACTTGACAAAATATTTAGTCTGTAAAAGAGACGAAAGCGGAACAACAAGAATGTCAAAAGAGAAATTAAATGCACACGCACACACACACAAATTATAAATACTTTCAAGTCACTTTTGATTTTTCCATTGACTACTTGCATTAAAATATGTTCAGCCCCTGCCCAGATGACGAGTCCTAAATAAGACGAAATGTGGCGTGTTAATCCACTGTCCACAAAATCACATTTCGACATAGTTGCCAGACACATCACTGAAGCATCCATTCTGACTAAGAGCAGACATGTCGCCTCAGAATCAAATCAACAGGAAAAAAACAGAAAGTGAATTAGAACGAGATAATAATAACGGATGTCTGTCTGAGAGCACAGGAGGTGGCTGTCATCCTGGCTCAAATGATTTAGTGGACAGTGCTTTGGCATCTCTGAAACGATGGGTACTGGCTGAGTTCACTCACTCACTTACCCATTCACTTCCTAGAGAATACAGGTACATACAGTTGATGAGTCCCGAATGGGACAAAGTGAGCATACTGGATTGCACTGCGCTAATCACCATTCACCCACTCGTGTCTTTACCAACAGCTACAGGCCCACCAACACAGGATAAGTTTGGATATAAACACCTTTTCTGCAATTAATAGTGTCCTCTGAGCTGGTTGGTTTATTTGCGGAGCTTTCGTCATCCTTCTGGACAACATCCCTTTTCAGTGCCATATTTAGCACAAAGTGAAATGATTTAAATTTATTCATGAGTGATAGAATTGCGTCTCCCGGAAACCATCTTTACATTTGTATTGACCATTTCCTACTGACTTGAATTTTAAACTTTCTGGTCATCTGATTTACTTTTTATTAGTTGGTATATTTCGTCTATATTAACGTGTTTGTTAATTGCATATTCGTTTGAGTACCAGGCTTCTAGGAATTCCCTGAATGCACTTTTAGTGTTTCCTCTGTCTAAGATTTTGACATTATCCCAATCAAACTGATGACCACAATTGTCTATATGCATTGATACTAAAGAATACATATCGTGTCTTTTCACGGCTGATTTGTGTTCTTGGATTCTGATTCGAAGAGGACGCCCAGTTTGGCCGATGTAATGCCTGTCACAGTTCATGCATGCAATTTATTTTGTAAATGGTATTAATTTTATCCGCCTTTTTCTGTTGGATCTTTCGGTTTGCATTATATCGAATTAAGCGATTTGACTGGCTTGTGTGCTATATCTATATCAAACGGTTTAAGTATTCTAGCTGTTATTTCAGAGATATTTCTCATGTATGGTAGGATGAATTTTCTTGTGGTCTTTGATGATGGTTCCATGTTGGTGTTTTGATTCGATTTCAAACACTTTTTGATGAAATTTTGTGGATAACCATTCCTTTTTGAAGACCGTTTGATGGTTGTTTTTCTTCCATTCTTTTTAACGCTCGAGTGCTACCGTGTGTGTTTGAACTCTTTTAAACACACACACCTTTTCTACTACCCCATCCAACTCCCCAGAGCAGTAGGAGGTATCATAGCTGACTCACTGATCGTTTAAAAGAAACACCATCAACACGAGTACAACTTCTTTGATCTGAGACATCCAACATGAGAGCTGGGAGTAACATTTATTGAAGGCAGTGTGTAAGACACACTTGTTAGGTTATCATGATATGTAGAGATTGCTAACAAAGATGGACACTTTATATTTTTCAAAAGGGGAGTGGAGAACATTACCTACCTGACAGAATGATTCATGCTGATCAGATAGAAGAATGACACGTACAGATATCGGAGACACCTAAAGAAATTTCAAGAGATAAAACAAAAAGGAGTATTAGGTGTAAGTGTAGAACTTGGGCACTGTGTAGTAGAATGTATGTGATTTTATATTAGATAAGTTTATTTTCAAATATATCAGACACAGTGATGATACAGTATTAATTAACAACTGGTTGTGACAAGGTTTCGAGCATAAATTATTGCTATACTCATAATCATATCAATTTAGTCATACGGTTTCACAATTTGTCTTATTCGTAATCGATCATAGGTGTCTGCGTTCTATCTCCCGTGTGAAGTGGTATAATAAGGTGAGCAATATTGAGGTTAGGCATCGGTCGAGTGCTAGGTGTGTGGGAGGGGAAATCAATCGACGAAACTGTGAAGCTACATCGACTGAGATGGTTAGGACATGTGTTACGCATGCTAGCCTAGTCATCGCCTTCCTCGACAATGGGCAATGTTAGCTGATATAGGGCCAGACTGGAAAAGAGCTAGCGGCGGTCAAACCAAAACATGGCACCAGTCAATGAAATCCACAACAGTTAGTCTAAGCCACATAGGAAGGTGTAGACTTCCTGGTTGGGGTTCTCAGGACGGTAAAAACCAATGGTTGGAAACAATTGGTGACATGACTCAAAATCGTTCTCAGTGAGTGGCGCAGATGCATCTACTCCTTGTGACTTATGATTTCCAATGAAACTGTTTTGTTCTCCGTTATTACTATACCTTTGTCTCACAACTCTGTTTACTGTCTCTAATATGCATTTTTCCTACTTTCTTCTCTTGCTTTGTGTGCTACGTGGAGGGAGTGTGGCGACTTGAACTGCCGCACATATGTGCAAAGTTCTATGTCGAAAACCGACCGACCGACCTTATACGTATATTTTCTCTCTTTCTGTCTGTCCAACTTCCCTTTGTTGTGTTCGTTGCCACCTTCCATATCTCCGGTATCATAGGCGTTGTGTCATTTCGATGACATTTAAGGTGTTGAATCGATAAACAAAGCTTCAGTGATTAACCCCACTCTCTCTGTCTCTCCACCTAACTACATTACTTTTTAATACTCTCGCTCTGTCTCACTCGCCCTATTTTGTGATAACATACAGGTGAATGCAGTGCAATGGCTGAGCTCTGTTTTTTCTAGGTTATTTAACTTATCAGAGGGTCAGTCATTCTATTGTTATTCATTATTATTGTTTCCTTTAATTCCTAGAGGAACATAGGGCTTCAGCCGTGCGTCTCCATTGAGTTCGGTTCTCTACTAGAGTCTCCAATTGGCTCCAAGTCTGCCCACACGTTTTCATCTCCTCTTCACATCACCTCCTCCAAGTCACCCTCGCATTGACGACCAACTCGCCGCTTCCCTTTCGGGTTCCACTCGAGCAATGGCTTGTCTAGTGATATCACTTGATGGTTTCCTCAGAGTATGGCCAATCCACCTCCAGTTCCCGCTGCATATTTGTTGGATAATCGGTTCCCGGTAGGTTCGCTCCCAGAGATCTCTGTTGCTGTTCTTTTCTGGCCATCTGTTCTTGAGTGTTGAGCGAAGACAGTTTGCTGTTGATGAAGGTCTGTAGTTTGTTTGAGATGCTCTTTATGACGCGCCGGCCAAGTCTCTGATCCGTATAGTAGCACATACTGACTTCACATTGGAGTTGAAAATCCGGATCTTATTTTTGATGATGAGTAGTGTTGTTGACCTCCACACTGACTTGAGAGTGATAAAAGCTTGTCTTGCTTTTCCGATTCTTGCATTGATATCCTCTTCAGTTCCGCCTGTAGTTGAAACGATTCTACGTCTAGCTAAATTTTTATTTTGCAATAATCTAGTTGACCTCAATCTACTAGTTTGACGGCGTATGTAATTGACCTCACTGCAATAGGAATGACGCAACGCCTATGATACCGGAGATATGAAAAGTGGCAACAAACAACAAGGGAATTTGGAGAGACGGAAAGAGAGAGAAAGTATATATAAGACAAATTATGAACTCGTGTAAATAAACTGATATGATTATGAGCAGTAGAAATTTATGCTTGAAACCTTGCCACATCCACACTGCATCATCAATGTGTGGTATTTAAAATAAACTTATCTTATACGGAAGAAAAAGGATACATCTGAGAGAAAGCATATTCATGTTCATTCAATAAATGAAGTGAGTCAGGGGTTCAACAATTCCGCACGTGACCCAGGTTCTATTTCCAACTAAAGTACTCCTAAACCCCACTGCTTAGCTCTCAGTAAGGCTAGGAAAGCTGGAAACTTGCGAATGAGACGAATAGCAAACCCACTTAGTGAAAAAAATACCATCAAAGCTATTGAAACTTTAAAGCTCACAGCTTTTGAAGCCTCATGTTAAACTCGGGACACAAAGGCAGGAAGAAGAGAAAGAAGAAATAAATCAAGAATTCTCTTATCCAACTTTCCCTCTTTTCCGGGAAAGCAAACTACCACCAGCTAGAAGGGGTTTAGGAGTGTGTGTCAGTTGAGAAGTGAACCCTGAACCACTTGTGTGACCGGATGGAATACGTATGAAATACCGAATGCAAAGTATTGAAGATATTCGACAGAGGATACGCCAAAAACACCTGAGATTTCCTAGCAGCCTGATTGGAGAATCAGCAATCAGCAGACACACCGACATAGACACGATTTATTGGAGGATTTCATCATGAGCTGACATCAGTTAGAGAACCCCTGGAAAACCAACTGGAAGTACTGGACAGCTGTTTCATCCCAGTCTGAGACTCTTCACAGTGCACACCCACCGGGGTTCAAACCTAGGACCCGAGGAGTCCCAAACTAGGACGAAACAGATGTCCAGTACACCTTGCAGGTTTTCAAATGATTCTCTAAGTGATGTCAGCTCATGATGAAATCCTCCAACCAATCAAACAAAATCCCTACAAAACCAATACTTGAAAATGATTTATCCCATGAGCAAAAGGTCACCTTTCAGGTCCAGAAAACAATTAATACCAGTACAAGTGGAATATGGCGTGAGATGACACACAAAAACAGTCAATCACATTGAAGGTTACCAGGACAGAGAGATGACTGATAAACTCGTGGGAAATTTTACGAGCTTGCTTCAAAACGAATTATGCACTGATGGTATTGTCTAGTTGGACAATGAAAGCCTCACAAGTGAACGATACAACTCAGAGGACACAACTCTAAACCAGAAAAATAAATAATTTCTTCGAGTTTCAAAATAACTTAAAACGCGTTTTCCCAGTAATGTCACTGCAAGTGGATTAGTTAGTTAGCAAGTTAGTAACTAAGGGAAAATGTTTTTCTGCTTTACTTATTAAGACGTCATCGTCATAAAACGTTTTACTTAGTCGGGGACAAATACACTGTAAAGGATACAGAAACATAAGAATCAACGAAACATAAATAAGAGAGAATATAAGGTATCTACTGTTATATACCATGTAAGGAGGGAACATCTGAGACCCTACGTAAGATTCTTAATAAAGCAGGAATTAGAGTGGCATTTAAACCTACAAACTCACTCAGGCGGGACAAGCTCTGTAGGTTAAAGGACCCTATAGGTTGACTTGCAATGAGTGTGAGGTCAAATACATAGGTCAAACTAGTAGACCGGGGGTAGTCAGATTATCAGAACATAAGAATTTAGTGGCTAAGGTAAGAATGGTTGACCCAGAGAAGATAAGTAATTTAGAAAAAAGCTCAGCAATTGCACTGGAGGCATTAACACAAAACCACACAATAGTATGATGGGAAAGGGTTGAAATATATATAGGTGGGTCCATTGAATCTACACCCAGTACGTGCGAAAGTAATGACTCATTACTCATATTGGAAATATAGAAAATACTACTACCAAACAAATCAAGCGAAGGAAAATAATGGAATTATATAAGCGAAGTTAGAAAGTTGTGTGAGTAGTGCCTTGATATGATTATCAGCAGGAGTAAATTGTGCTCAAAACGTGGTCACCAGTAAATATTACTGTACAACAAACACTATGTGAGACTTTATCAAAATAAATTTCACTTATAATGGAACAATCACCAAATATTTCATTGAAAAATACTGACCTGATGTAATAATCCAACGATATCATTATCATCATGATTCCACACAGTGGATAAATAATCCTTTCTGCAAGTTGAATGATTTCCAGAACACCAATTCTTCTCTGTAAAATAGATTTTGTCATAATCCTCAGTGGAGCATGAATTTATCCTTTTACGTCTTGAATGTTTATTATCCTTATGAGTATGACCATAATTACTTTCCGTTGAAGAAGAATCTTTACAGACAAGTAGAAACTGTTGCTTCTTTTTTATTCCACCACGTCGTGTCTTCCTTTCCTTTCCCTTCTCTTTATCATAATCATGTTTCGATGGGGGTAATCGATTTTGTAAATATGCACCACCGACATTCAACTGAAAACATGTAGGCAGTGTAATACCACCACCACCACCTTTAGAGATATGAACACTTGATGACGAGGCCTGTAAAGATTCGATAGTTAATGAAGCTAATGGAATCGGTGTGATATCTAAATCGCCTAACATTAAAATATGAATTTGTGAACAATTGATGCGTATACCGAATTCCAGAGAACCGCATGGAATAGTATTCAATCCGATAGGAATTGAATTCAGATCAGAGTAGGAAGGCTGTTTAAAAGAGATAATAATAAAAATAATTAATAATAAACAAAGCAAAAGTAGTATAATTTTCTCTAAAATCGAATTATCAGCATTGATAAATATACACATAGAAGAGAAACTTTCGATCCGGTCATAGATCAGCCTACTGTGTACGATAACATACAGACTACCTAAAATGGCGGTCAAGGTCTATAAGCATGGTGTGTGTGTGTGTGCATAGAGCAGTCTAAGTACAACGTACTTTCGTTACAAGATTGTCAACAGTCGAACTCTTTACAAGTAATCTATATAAGTGTTCATGTGTAACTAGGTGGCCGCTCCATCCTCCTTTATGGCTGTGAGTGAGACCTGGTCATTGAGAGTGAAAGACATGAAGAGGCCAGCTAGCTGTGCCTGCGTTCTATCTCCCGTGTGTGTTAGGTGGTATAGTAGGGTGAGCAATATCGAGGTTGGGCGTCAAGCGCTAGGTAAGGAGGAGAGATCAGTAAACGAGGCTGTGAGGTTACATCGACTCATGCCTAGCCATCGCCTTCCTCGACAATGGGCTGACTGACATGAGGTGGGTCAGGTTGGAAAAGAACTAGCGAGTGGTGGTCAAACCAAAAGATGGTTTCATCAGTCAGTCAAATCCACTAAAGTTAGTTCAAGCCGGTCAGCTAGTCACGTAGGAAGATGCAGACTTTCTGACCGGCTGGTTGAGGTCATTGGGACGATGAACACCAACGAAGACTGGAGACAATTGGTGATATGGCTCAAATTCATCGTTCTCGATGGCTGGCAAAAATGCATCCACTCCTTGTGACTTATAATATCCAATAAAACTAGATATATTGTTCTTCGATATAACTATTCTTTTTGCCTCATATCTCTGTTTACTGTCTCTATTTTGCATTTCTTTTTACTTTCTTCTCTTTCTTTGTGTGTGCCTTGTGGAGAGAGTGCGAAGACTCGATCTGCTACACAGCTGTGCAAAGTTTTATGTTAAAACTGGTCAGTCAGTAACTAGGTGGTTAGTTGTGTAAGTGCTTGAGGAGATGAGATGAAGTTACTAAAGGTATAGTGAATTGGCAAGGCGACATACGCCGAAAAAGGCTATCCACCTCTGTAGGTGTATGTGACATTAGCGCAGTCGTTAAAATTTAGATTGACAATAATTAACTGAATGGCAGAGATTCATGATAGAACTTTGCACAATAGTGTTCCTATTTCAAGGTGCCATACCCCATGAAACACACAGAGGAATACAAAAGATAAAAAAGAGATTCAACAGTACAGTAATAAACAGAAATGTGAGGAAAAAAGAATAGTAATATGGATGAAAAATAGGGTTTAATAGACACAGGAAGTCATAAGAAGTGAATGTATATGCACTATTAACAACGATTTCCAGCCATACCACTAAGTGTCTCAAGTCATCGATTATTAGAATCTCGAGGACCCGAACCGAAAAGTCTACAACTCCCTATGTGTCTGGACTAAGCTAAATATCGAAGATTTTATGAACTGATTAATGACAGGTATTTGGTTTGACCACGAACAGCTCTTTTCCAACGTGATCCAATGTCAGTTAATATTGCCTGTCGAGGAACGCAATGGCTAGGCATGCCACATGTCTACTTACAGTGTGAGATAGTAAACAAGCAAGCTAAATCATACTTAATAAGTTGACGATCATAATTTATAAGTAAGGTGTGCTCTAAAATCGAATTATCAGCATTGATAACTGTGCAAGATAATATAGAGACTATCTGAAATGGCGGTCAAGGTCCACAAGTATGGTGTGTGTGTGCTTAGAGTGGTCTAAGTACGACGTTCTGTTGTTACAAGATTGACTGGCAAGAGCGTGTATTCTACACTCATGCTTGCAGTTGAACCCTTTACAAGTAATCTATATAAGTGTTCATGTGTAACTAGGTGGCCGCTCCGCCCTCCTGTATGGTTGTTAGTGATACCTGGCCATTGAGAGTGGAAGACATGAAAAGGCTAGACAGTTAGCTGTCTTTGATCATAGTTGCCTGCGTTCTATCATCCATAAGAAGTGGTATATTAGAGTGAGCAAAGTTGACGTTAAGCTTCGAGTGCTAGGTAAGGAGGGGATATCAATAGACGAGGCTGTGGAGCAACATCGACTGATATGGTTAGGACATATGCTACGCATGCATCTCCAGCCATCGCCTTCCTCGAGTGACGGCCAATGTTAGATGATATAGGGTCAGGTTGAAAAAGAGAAATAGAGTGGTGGCCAAGCCAAAACATGGCCTCATCACTCAATGAAATCTAAAACAGTTAGTTTAAGCCAGCCAGACATCTAGGGAGGTGTAGATTAGCTTCCTGACTGGTTAGTGTCCTCAAGACGGTAAACACCAATGAAGGCTGGAGACAATTGGTGATATGTCTCGAAATTGTTCTAAGTGGCTGGTAAAGATGCATCCACTTCTTGTTACTTATAATATCCAATAAAACTACAATGTTCCTCTCGATGGCTTTCACCAGCCCGGTGTGTCATTTCGCCTATCCAATTCGAGCGAAGAATAAGATTATTGTTATTTGAAGTTTTTATATTTTTAATATGTTTTCTGTGTGTTGAAGTTTCTCTAGCGGTTTGAAAGATTTAGTGGTATGGGGCTGCTAGCCCCACGCCTAACCCTCCCCTCTTTACCCGCGTTTAGGACCGGCTAGAAAACTAGAACTAGTTAACTAGGCGAGGTTTTTAAAAATTCATGTAACCTTCTAATTTTGTATGTCGGTCGGTTGGTCGGTTTTCGACATAGAACTTTGCACATATGTGCACCAGTTCAAGTCGCCACAATCCATGTAGCACGCAAACCAAGAGAAGAAAGTAGAAGAAATGCATAATATAGACAGTAAACAGAGGTGTGAGACAAAGGTATAGTAATAACGAAGAACAAAACAGTTTCATTGGAAATCACAAGTCACAAGGAGTGGATGTATCTGCGCCAGCCATTGAGAACGATTTTGAGCTAGCCATGTCACCAATTGTTTCCAACCATTGGTGTTTACCGTCCCGAGGACCCCAACCAGGAAGTCTACACCTTTCTACGTGGCTTAGACTGACTGTTGTGGATTTCATTGACTGGTGCCAAGTTTTCGTTTGACCGCCGCTACCTCTTTTCCAGCCTGACCCTATATCAGCTAACATTGCCCGTCACTCGAGGAAGGCAATGACTAGGCATAGGTAACACATGTCCTAACCATCTCAGTCGATGTAATTTCACAGTCTCGTCGACTGATTTCCCCGCCTTACCTAGGACTCGACCGATGCCTAACCTCAATATTGCTGACCTTATCATACCACTTCACGCGGGAGATAGAACGCAGACACCTATGATCGAAGACAGCTAATCTTTTCATGTCTTCCACTCTCAATGGCCAGGTCTCACAGCCATAGAGGAAGACGGAGCGGACTGTTCAGCAGTACACACGGGTTCTATCTCCCGTGTGCAGTGGTATAATACAGTGAGCAAAACTGACGTTAAGCGTCAAGGGCTAGGTAAGAAGGGGACATTAATAGACGAGGCTGTGAAGTTACATCGAATGAGAGAGATGTTTAGGATATGTGTTGTGCATGCCTACCCTAGCCATCGCCTTCCTCGACAATAGGAAATGTTAGTTGATATAGGGTCAGGTTGGAAAAGAGAAAGAGAGTGGTGGCCAAACCAAAGCATGGCCTCATCACTCAATGAAATCCAAAACAGTTAGTTTAAGCCAGCCAGACGCCTAGGGAGGTGTAGACTAGCTTCCTGACTGATTTGTGTCCTCAAGATGGTAAACACCAATGGAGGCTGGAGACAATTAGTGATATGGCTCGAAATTGTTCTAAGTGGCTGGTAAAGATGCATCCATTTCTTGTTACTTATAATATCCAATAAAACTACATTGTTCTTCCCGATGGCTTTCACCAGCCCGCTGTGTCATTTCGCCTCTCCGATTCGAGCGAAGAATAAGATTGTTGTTATTTGAAGTTTTTGTATTTTTAATGTGTTTTCTGTGTGTTGAAAGATTTAATGGTGTGGAGTTGCTAGCCCCATGCCCAACCCTTACTCTTTGCCCGCGCTTAGGACCGGTTAGAAAACTAGAGAGCTAGTTAACTAGGCGAGGTTTTTAAAAATTCATGTAACCTTCTAATTTTGTATGTAGATGTATGTAAGACTGTGGTTAGTTGTTGTTGTTGTTGTACACGCAATCGTTGGTCAGATCAATGGTAAACTAACAATAAATAATGAGTACATAATTACTGTATTATTACATAATGATATGAATTATTATTGGAAATCAATGATGACAAACAATCAATAATGCTAAATATTTACACTTTGAACAAAACAAAACACTAATCGATTGTTCTACACCTACGTATTGCTGTTGTGTCAGATTGGAGTGTTCCAACTATCTGAATTCTCAACTACATATAATTAAATAAAATGTTCACCATTCCAGGAGAACACCTGCTTACCAATTCATGGTTTCAAGAATGCCTACTATCACCGATGACATCCCCTTATTGTGGTGGAGTGGATGTTGAGGGAGACAATACGCGGGGAGTGGGAAGACAGAAACATTCTGGCCCGACAAGAAGACTCTAGAAAATGTGGACTTCGCGAATGACTTATGTCTACATATATCACATAAACTTGAGTATACATACATAGGCGAGAATCAATAAGTTGGCAGAAGAAGCAATAAAGACTTGACTTCAAGAGAACATAGAAAAGACTAAGGAGATGAATATACGCAACCAACAACGGCAACAACAATGTCTTCATTCGATATTGTGTAGAGTGAAAGATCCAACAGCAAAAGAAGATAAAATTAATACCATTTACAAAATTACTTGCATGGACTGTAATCCACACTAAATCGGTCGAAGTGGGCGTCCCCTTCGAATCAGAATCCAGAAAAATCAGTTGTGAAAAAACACGATATATATTCTTTCATATCAATGCATGTAGATAATAAAGAACCCAGCTAGGCAACCAAACAATCAAGAGCCTATCGGTTCAACGAAAATGCTAGAAGAAATACAGATGGATTGAACATGCACTATGAAGATGGTTGAATAACTACATTCCTTCTGACTGCCTCCAACCATCTAACAACAACAGTAACAATTCAGAGACTGACTGACTGGTTTCAATATAGGACTTTGCGAAGCTGTGCAGCAGTTCGAGTTGCCACATTTCACTTAGCACAAAAAGCCAGAAAAGAAGAAGAAAGTAAAAAGAAATGCAAAATAGAGACAGTAAACAGAGATACAAAGCAAAACGAATAGTAATATCGAAAAACAATATAGTTTCATTGGGTATTATAAGTCACAAGGAGTGAATGCATCTGTGCCATCATCGAGAACGATGAGTTTGAGCCATATCATCAATTGTCTCCAGGCACCATTGGTGTTTAACGTCCCGACGACCCCAACCAGTCAGTCAGGAAGTCTACACCTTCCTGCGTGGCCAGCTGGCTTAAACTAACTGTTGTGGATTTCATTGTTTGATGAAGCCATATTTTGTTTTGACTACCACTTGCTAGTTCTTTTTCAACCTGACCATATGTCAATCAGCTAACATTTCCCGTCGAGTAAGGCGATGGCTGGGGTAAGCATGCACAACACATGTCCTAACCATCTCCCTCTCAACAGATGTAACTTCACAGCCTCGTTGATTGATATACTTTCTCATATACCTAGCTGGCACTCGACCGGTGCCTCACCTCGATATTTCTCGCCCTATCACACCACTTCACATGGGAGATACAACGCAGGCACCTAAAATCAAAGACAGTTAGGCGGCCTTCTCATGTATTCGACTCTCAATACCCATGTCTCACTCACAGCCAAAAAGGAGGACGAAGCGGACTAATGAGCAGTACACATGTCCTTTGGTCGACAGCTAGCCAGTCGGATATCACATCTACGCCAGAGACAGCGTAAACTGGCATGTGCGAAACGAGCCTTCTGTATCTGTGCTGAGATTTCGTCAGCGATCAACCCGTTGGCGCTGGCTGATGCAACTTCCCCTCAAATAAATGAAATGGTCAACACGCTCCACCAATCACTTCACCCCCTATTTCTATGCTAGGAGTGAGTCAATGTAGTCGACTCCAGCTAACAGTCTCCAATCATTGGTTGTTAGCATCTCCACACCCCACAGTCAGGCTATCTACACGTACCTACATGCCGAGCTCATATCAAATTGTCAAAGACTCCATTGATTGGATAGTCAGTCAGCTAGGTAGTTTCATCTGTCCTTGTCTATACAATAAATGTGACTCACATAACCTGATATCCACAGTTGATAAAAGCATTCTCGAAGCCTCTATGCTAAGAGCCAACATGCATGCCAAAAAAGACTTAGTCCAATTAAAAGGCAATTAACGCACAAATTCAAAACAACAGGATTAATATTTCGAAGTAGATTTCTACACAAACCAAAATGTCAGCGAGGCACACAGAGAGAGAGATCATTGAAAACTAGACAGCTATCTGTTTCGTCCTGGTTTGCGACTCTTCATGGCACAGCACACACCTTTAACTCCACTGTTTCGGATTGAACCCACCAAGGACCTTTAGGTTATAAAGTTAGAATTCACAAGTATTTGAATTCTGCCTTAAGTGGCTGGTTGAATGGTCTACGAGCTCGCCTTGTAACCGGAGGGACCCTGGTGGGTACGTACAACCAAAGAGTCCTAAACAAGGACGAAATAGCTGGTTGTCCAGTACTCCAAGCTGGTTTTCCAATCATTCTCTAGGTGACACCGATCCACGATCAAACTTGAATTAATTAATTAATTGATTAATTATAATAGATAAATAAATGCCTATGAGAAACACTTACTTGTTGTATCGCTGCTGGCTGATCAGTTTGTAACGCCTCCTCACTACTCATACCATCCGATTGATTTTCTTCGAATTGTTTCAATAAATAACTGTCGAATAAATCCTTGACTAAATCACAATTCATCTTAGTCAAATTGAAACGCATTGTGTGAATGTAGAAGACAATAGTTAACTGGGTAGTGATTGGTTCAGAGAATAGGAGTAGATTAACACATGGGTGGGAACATGTTACTCCCTCCGCTGACCTATTTGTAGAAGGCGGCGGCGCATTCATCTCATCGTTATTCTCAGGAACAACAACAACATGATGATATTTTGTAAACTGATTCAACTTTGCTGTTTGCATGAAGTGCAAATCAGAGAAATTGAAACGAACTGTCTGTAACCACCAGTTGAAGGGCGAAGATGATGAGTAGCTTCTTCTGGCTGGATTCAACTTGATATAGTTTATCTAAAAATTGAATGTCAAAATAAAAATAAATAAGGAGCAAGGGGGGCGATTATTATTATTATTACGTATTATCATCATTTCCTTTAATTCCTAGAGGAACATAGAGCTTCAGCCATGCGTCTCCATTGCGTTCGGTTCTCTGCTGAAGTTTTCAAATGACTCCACATCTGCCCACACGCTTTCACCTCCTCTTCACATGACCACCTCCAAGTCACCCTCGGATTGACGACCAACTCGCCGCTTCCCTTTTGGGTTCCACTCGAGCGATGGCTTGTCTAGTGATGTCACTTGATGGTTTCCTCAGAGTATGGTCAATCCATTTCCATTAATTCCTGCATATTTGTTGCACAATCAGTACCTGGTTGGTTCGCTCCCAGAGATCCCTGTTGCTGATATTTTCTGATCGACCATCTCATCTTGAGCGAAGTATTGAGCGAGGACAGCTGCTGACGAAGGTCTGAAGATTGTTTGAGGTGCTCCTCATGAAGCGGCGCCAAGTCTCTGATCCATAAAGTAGTAGTGACTTTACATTGCAGTTGAAAATCCGGATCTTATTTTTCATGCTGAGTGTTGTTGACTTCCACACAGACTTGAGAGTAATGAAAGCTTGTCTTGCTTTCCCGGTCCTTGTTTTGATATCCTCCTCAGTTCCACCTGTAGTTGAAACGATGCTTCCTAAGGTAGGTAGGTGGGTGAAGGAGGTTGCTTCTTTCAGATTTCTCCCATTTACGCTGATTGTTGTCTGTTGTTAATGCTGTCGCTGTTGGCCAGGAATGTTCATCACCTCTATTTTCTTTGTGTCCATCTGGAGGAAGTCCTATCTTCGATGCTTCTTCTGCGAGCTTGTTGGTTTTTACACGCGTATCTTCCAGTTTGTGAGAAATCAGACATATATCATCGGCGAAGTCCAGACCCTCCAAGTTTTCTTATGTGAGTCCATTTTATGCCTGTTTCCTCATTGCCCGCTGTCTGTCGCATTATCCAATCTACTGCAATCAGGAGAATCATTGGCGATAGTAGGCAGCCAGCTTGTCTTACTCCCGTCTTCACTTTGAAGGATTCCGTAAGTTTCCCGTTGTGGATTACTTGTCATGCGCAGCGTTGTCGTACAACTGTTGGATGAGATGTATAACTGTCGGTTGGTTGGTTATCCTTATCACCCTTTTGGTAAATTTAATAATCAATATCTATAAGTAGTAAAGGACAAACTGTCAAATTTCGCCTCTTTCATGTGTATCTACCAATTTAACTGATGCTGTGGAGTCAGTCAGTTGCATAGGCCGTACAATTAGACGTGTTTCTCATCGAATTTCCGAATTTCCCTGTGCGGTTAAGCAAAGGAGAAGCAAAATCTATTCGTAGAGCTATTCTATCTCATCTTGTGGATACAGAACACAAGACTGATGTTAACCAGGCGGCTTTCACAGTCATTCACCGTGTACCAACAAATCTTAATTTCGCCTTAAGAGTTCGATTACTACATATTGCTGAGGCTGTTGGGATCCATATTAAGAAGCCTAATTTGTGCGTCCAAAAGAACTTAGTTCAGACACTGTCCTTACCTTGGCCATCTAGGTTTGAATGATCCTGAATTTTTGTGGAATTTTCCTAATTTTAGTTGATATTCTATTCGCTACTATATCTTTGTTGTTATTACAATTTAAGCATCTTTAATGAACTGTAATTCCACTGTGATCCTACTTAACAAATCGACAATTGACTACTATTCTGAAATATTCTATATGGGTCGGTGGAACAGCGATTAGGACTCTCGCCGACCATGCACATGGTCTGGAGTTCGATCCCCTGCCGACGCACACCTGGTATCAATAGTCGGTCTGCAAAATTTTGGCTACCGATATCGCATGCTGAAAATTCCCTACTTGCACCAAAAATACTGTATGGTTTCAAGTTATAACCAAAATTAAATTAATACGTATATAATTGTAGAGCCAAAAGAGGAAATCATCGAAAAGGATATTCTTCTTTATTCAATTATTTTGTGTTTTATAGATGTCTGAATGAATATTTTCGCAATATATATAGCTGATGGAACACGATCGGAGGTGGAGGGAAAATCAGAGTCGAGGAAGCAGTGGTCAAACCAGTAAGCTGTCATTTATCTAATAACCTAGCCAGTCCTCTATCACAATCACAGTATTGATATGATGAACAATTTAGAAAACTGGAGTTTTCATATCAACCGAACCAATATTCCGACCCGGAGACCATGCAATGGTTGGGATTCTGTTTCTACTCAGATCAATAGCACTCAGCTAATTGGCACCCATCCTATTATGATACCAAATCAAGCCACAAGACTCATTAGAAACTTACATAAATTGAAAAATCCATTGGAAATACAATCACTTGATGACACAAATTATACTTCATTGGATTATTACACCATACCATTTGTTGACACCAAAATTCATACAACAAGCGGAAATTCAAATGAAATAATTTTTTTCTCTCCATCGGTGGCGATGATCTCAGTAAAAATTGATCTGCTACTTCCACTTCTTCATTAACATAATGCATAATACTAAATTGTTCAATAGAAAATGATACAGATTTGCTATCATTTGAATTACTACAATTGAACATTGAATTCATCGAATTCAACAAATTGTGGTTAATTTGAATTTGTTTAAAACTAAGCAGTAGAAAATGCGCGCATGGATTAAAACTACTTGGGATTAAAATGAGTGAATTGTTGATTTTCATTGAAAATTGAACAGAGAGTGATGATAATAATAGTAATGATTTATCAAGTCGGCTGGATATTTCATTTCCGCTATCACTATCAATATGCGCATTGCGTGAGGATTGAATTACTGTCTTGTTGAGCCGTAAGTATGGTATAATACATTGAAACCATTGAATAATTTCAAGGACATCACTATGTGAATGAATATAAACAAGGTTGGAGAGGGTAATTTGAATTTGTGGCTGATGGAGCTCAACAGAAGGGCAACCATTATGTTGAGTATACCATTGAACATTGATATGCATTAGATCAGAATGTTGTTCCGCGGTAGTAGAAGAGGAGACTGGTGAAAATATTGATCCAAATAAATACTGATCACTTTGAATTTGTGAATTGCATAAAGGATGGAGTTGAAAAGTTTTTAGTTTTATTGATAAAGAGTTTAATAAGCCTGAAATAAGAGAATACAAAGAATTACGTAGTAAATATGGATAGTGTAATTAGAAGACAGAGACTGTCTAAAAAAGTAATGTGATGTGATGTGTATTCGCGCAATATACATTTCCAACAACAATCTGATCCCTCACACACACATTCACTTGTCAAGTCAATTTATATGAGAAAAATAATGACCGATTGAAGTACACAAAACGACAAAAAAAGATTTAAGAATAAGAATAGTTAGAATAATTAACACCACGTTTGGTTATGTAATCTGATAAGGATTAACAAGGTAGTAGGTTAAGAGTAATAATAAATAGTTTTTGAGCACACAAGGCAGGTGAGGAGGGGTGGGGGCTTAAGTTTACGAATAGCTATCACCTCAGTGTATTTCAGTGAGTGCCCTTAATCGTGTTTATAGATGATCTTAAAAACCGCTCGAACATCAATCATGTGGTTCATATCGATTAGATGTTTGACTATAGACGAAGTTGGCAGTCTGCCACTTGTGGTCTATTGGTTTACCAAAGTTCATATGCCTTTCTAACCACTCTGGGATATGCTCTCCCACCCCCCCATGCAGAGCGCGATTACTCCCCCTAAGTGTGTGCCTACACACACACGTAAATTGGTATATATGTAGGGTGTGACATAATCACTTGTGCACTTTTGAGGTTTCCAGACGAGCATACTGTTGGCTTTTTCAATAATTATAAGCCAAGCTGCATAATAGTTTCTGTGGATGACCGAGTTTAGTCTCTGTCTCAAAGTCCCGCTATATACTTTTCCATTATGTGATAAGTTAATGAAGACATCTTTCCCAGAGACAAAATAGATTGTAGGTTTTAAAACTAACTGCCTTCTACACTGGTTTCAAATATTTTAAAGGAAATCCATTTTCAACAAGAGTATCCATCAGTATTTTATTTTCATCCTGTATAACATCAGCGGTACAGATATGATGATTCCTCTTGAATAAGCACTTTGTCAAGCTCCTCTTATATTGCCAGTGGACAGAAGCTGTGTGATTACTCTTAACCTACTAACCTTGGTAATCCTTATCTGATTAGATAGCCAAACGTGGTGCTAATTATCCTAACTATTCTTATTCATAAATCTTTTTTTGTCACTTTGTGTACTTTTATTGGTCATTATTTTTCACATATAAATTGATTTGACAAGTGAATGTGTCGATGATCAGATTGGTGTTCGAAATGTATACAGCGCGAATACACATCACATTACTTTTTCAGACAATTTCCATTTATCAAGGCGGTCTGCTTAAATCACTGGGTTACCGAACGCCGCTACGCGGAGGATACATTGGAGTCCTGGTGTGCAAGACTGCAGCATTGCAGCCAATCATCTTCTCTGGGAGAACTCCCCGGGCCTTGGAGAGTGAGTGCCATCCGTTGAAGCGGCGAGTAGTTGGTCGGCAATGCGATGGTGACCACATGGAGGAGGTGATGCGAAGAGGAGATGAAAGTATGTGGGAAAACGTGGAGCCAGATGAAAACGTTGACGGAGAACCGAACGCAAGAGAGACGTACGGCTGACTCCCTATGTTCCTCTAAGAACCAGAGGAGACAATAATAATAATAATAATAATATTGTGGTGATAGCTGTCTACTAGCCAAGTGGTTGACAGTAATTGAGGTCAATGTTTATGTATCAAATATTAGTCATGTTGTGGTGAGAGATGGTTGCTAGCCAAATTGGTTGACAGTAATTGAGGTCAAGGTCAAGATGGACAGGGGTATACAGTTAATCAACGAAATATTCCCATATTGAGTCATAAGAAAAAGGCACAAACAGCGAAGAAAATTTTCTTTTCGACGATTCATTTTCATGAGCTGTACAATCGTTAACATATAGAAGAACTGACACAGCCACAAGAGATGCAAGGTTAACTTTCTGTGAGAAACAACCAATCAACAGACTGTATTTTCTCCTAACATAAACCTACAATAATGTACATCAAAATCTATAAATATGTGTTGATTTTCCGTAATAAAGGTTCTGTTGCCTGGCCCTTGTCTTCTGTTGTTACAATATAACTGTGGAAACGAACAATGGAAGTCACACTATAGTGGAGAGTCAACTCAACATACTACTACTACTACTTAAAGCGGGCAAATATTTATCATCACAACTACTATCAACCATCAATCAATTCACTGACCTGAAGTCTGTAATTCCAAACGAAGATTTGAAAATGTCATCTGAACAATTTCTTTAACTGATCCCGTCAATGAATTGTACTCATCATTATTGTTATCGACAGGATGATTAATCAATAATATGTCTAAATTAGCCAATGATATTTGCCAATTATAATCAATAAAAGGCGACAACGATGTATCATCAGCTTCCTCAGCGAAGGAGTCATACGGGAAATATTGATGACTGAATGAGGATTGTGTTGATGATGACTCTTCATCCAACTGATGATGATGATGATGGCGATGATGATCGAATGAAGTCAATTGGTTCCTGGAATAATAATGATCCGTTAAAGATAAGTTGAGATCAGTGATAAATTCGCTGATAATTTTCATTGTAATTGGATTACCTAGAATAAGATATAATAATAGAACAAAAGATAAACAGAAATTAATTCAACAAAGCATTATACTACTTAATTATTACTATTAATATTCCATTTGGTTCTGAGTGGAACAACAAACAGGAGGGCTTCCATAGCACATGCTCATTTCATCCTGGTTTCTGCAGACCTCTTTAGCTGCCTCCATAATTGTCGATAAGTCTTTATCTCCTCCTCATCCTACTCCTCAGATGATCTATTCCACGTCCCTCTCTGACCTTTATGGCTGTGAGTGAGACCTGGCCATTGCAAGTGAAAGGCATGAAAAGACTAGTTAGCTGTCTGTGATCATAGGTGCCTGCGTTCTACCTCCCGTGTTAAGGGTTATAATAAGGGGAGAAATACTGAGGTGAGGCATCAGTCGAATGGTAGGTAAGGAGAGGAAATCAATCGATGAATCTGTGAAGCTACATCGACTGAGAAGATTAGGACATGTGTTACGAATGCATCTCTAGCCATCGCCTTCCTCGACAATAGGAAATGTTAGCTGACTGACAAAGGGTCAGGCTGGAAAAGAGCCAGCGAGTAGCGGTCAGACCAAAACATGGCTTCATCAGTCAATAAAATCCACAATAGTTAGTTTAAGCTGGCCAACCAGTCAGGTAGGAAGGTGTAGACTTCATGACTGGCTGGTTGGGTTCCTTGGGATGGTAGAAACCAATGAAGGCTGGAGACAATTGGTAATATGGCTCAAACTCATCGTCCTCGATGGCTGGTGCAGATGCATCCACTCCATGTGGCTTATAATACCCAATGAAACTATATTATTCTTCATTATTACTAT